TGATGGCATCCAATGGACCTCAGTTAAGTGTCTGCTTGCCTCCACTGGCTCAGCAAGCTTCTTTCTCTGAGGGACAGACACGAGTAAAGCATTCAACTACTTTATCAGCCAGGATAACTGTACACGACAGCCTGGGTTTTCAAGCTACAATAACCAACCGTTTGCTCTGTGCTGTAACTGATGTTGACAACAATTGATGATAGGTCCTGCTGGTTTCCCTCAAGTTTCCAAATGAAGGCTATTCCTAACTGCTTCACCCTCCCCTCACTGCCCAGCACAGACATGAAGGGCTGAATGGACTCCTATACTGTAAGCTTCCATCCCTACTTTTATTTTACACAGGACCAAGCTACCAACCACAGCTATTGATCTCTCTGCTAAATACTGTTAACTGCTTACACGTGCATGTGTTTATTCAGGGTGAATCGGAAGTCCTTATTCAAGAGTTTTTAATAATTAATTTTTTTTAAGGCAAAATTCATAGAGAGTGTACAGTGATTACAGGAGATGCCTTTCATTGTGTTTGTGAAATTTTTGCACCGAGTTGATAGGTTTAAACGTCTGCATGACATGCATTTTGAATATCTCGTAGATCTATGAGTAAGGACTTTTGATTCACCCTGTAGATAGACAAAGGTGTCTAATTTGTGGTGTTTCTGAATAAATTTCTTAATAAATGTGTAATTATCAATTTTTCATAAGATATCGAATTACTAAAAATAGGCAGACTTTTTACAAATTCAATAATTGCACATTTCATAAGAAATAGGTTAAGAAATATAAAAAATTAAAGCCTATTCCTAAATTAAAAGCATTTCTTTGCATTATAGGCATGGGCTGAAAAGCAGTCATCTTATAAGGACACGGCTTAATTGCTCTTTTCTTTAACTGCAGTCTTGTCAGTGGGTAATAAATCACATACTTAACTGCTCACTCAGAGCTATGAAAGCTTTCATTATTTTTACTGTACAAAGCCCAAGGTAATTGTTTCTAGTTAAGACCAGGGGTGTTAGTATTGGGAAATGGACTGCTCCTTATTTCAAGCATCTAATGGTAGCACTCGGTGACTCCAGGTCAGGTACAGCACTGTAGAGTTCAGGGAAAAGCTGCTTCTATTCCACCTGGCCTGCACTTTATCCAAAAGATCAGGAGAGCACTTGATACTGTCCCATGTGATACTCTGCAGCCTCTCTGAATTCAAGATAGTTTTGTCCTTCAATCCCATGGCCTTGTGAATGAATGTGCAAGCCTGTGATAGCTAACAGTCAGAGGAGACTTTAATCCAAGGTGTCTGGGCTGGTGTAGAACCCAGCTACCGAAGGTTTCTGCACTTGATCCCAGTCAGTCTTTCCCCCTTTTCATTTCTGCTCTCTTACCAAACCACTCCTCAGGTCTAAGCCCGAAACAATGATTTCCACATAATTGAGCCCAGATCTGAACTACGAACACACCATGTGATGCCACTTTTTAATTCCCATTCTGTGCATCAAAGTGAAACGTGCGATGGATGCTAGACTTTAAACAAAGTCTTTAGGAAGAACAACATTAAAACATTGTATGTTTTAAAGATTTTGATACAACATTCATGCGTTTGAAAAACCAAATACAATAAAGAGCAGAGAGGTATCTGTTGCTGTAGTTCAGCAGAGAGGAAGACAGAAGGTGTATTTTCCAGCTTGGGCTAGCCATGTGCAAACTGAATACAAATGTGTATAATATTATATAATCAACCAACAAACAGGATTTCCGTGTCTCCCAATATTTCTGTATTGGTTGCTAATTGCATAATTAAACACACGTGGAATTATCTCTGTGCACATGCTTTACACGTGGTTGACACAACCTGAGAAATAAAACTTGAAAGGAGAGCAAATGATTGCTGTTTGTTTTCTAATAGAAACAGAAAACATGAAAAGCTATAACCAAGCACTTGAAAATACTCTATGACAATGTTATCACTGTTCTATGCACAACAAGCATTATGTACCAAACCCATGCAACATGACCACATTGGCATGTTTTGCAATAAGCGGAAAGCGTAGGCAGTTTGCTGTAACTCATGTGTCACACTTGGTGAGTGGGAGACCTTTGGAGTTCAATTTAAAAAAAGATGATTTTGTTGCTGCAGAAAGAGACATCCAATACATGGGTTGTGCAAATCAAAAACATACGTTCATAGTTGGTTGTTTACCTTTTGATGGTTGTGCCTGTATGATATGTACAAACAACTCATGACACCATATTTTTTGGAATGCACCTAAAGACGGAAACTTGACTAGCATTTGTGGTCAGAAGGCTTTTGTTTAGATCAAATCCCAGTCAGATCATGGTGAAAACATGAGAAGTTGAAAGTTAAAGCAGCTGGTTCTGGTTCCTGCATGTATCAAGCTCCCCAAGACCAGCATGGAGTCATTGGGCTGAGTAACACAGGCATATAAGTATATATTCGGGGAGAGGAGTCAGGACAGAGTGGAGGAGGAGCCTGGGCCTAGCGAGCAGCATAAAAGGAGCGGCTGAGGTAAGCTGGGAACTGTCAGAGCTATGGAAAAAAAAAAAAGTGACGTTGGTGTGACGTCATTTTCAACAGCAGAACCAGGGGGACATCGCGGGTGGATAAAATTCTTCAGGGGAAAGGGGAACATCCAGAAGTGGTGGTCCATGTTGGGATCCATGATATTGGTAAAAAATAAAGGGCTGAGATGCTGCAGGGTGAATATCAAAAGCTGGGGAACAAACTAAAGAATAAAACATCCAAGGTGGTGATCTCTGGATTGCTCCCTGTGCCTCGGGCAAATAAATACCTTAATGGCAGGATCAAGCAATGAATGCTTGGCTGGAGAAATGGTCCAGAAAAAAGGGCTTCAGGTTTCTGGATCATTGGGACCAGTCCTAGGGCAGGTGGGACCTGTACCATATGGATGGGTTGCATCTAAACAGGGCTGGGGCGAATGTCCTTGCAGACAGGCTAACTAATGCTGTAGGGGAGGGTTTAAACTAGTTTTGAGGGGGAAAGGGAATGCAAAAAACAAAGGGCAAGAAAATAGAGAAATAAAACAGGGTGGGGGGCGTGCAGAGCAGGTCAAGTCGGTCTTGGAGTGCATGTGCCTAAATGCACGGAGTTTAGCAAACAAGATTGGTGAGCTGCAGGCTCAAGTGGTCATAGGGAGATATGATGTAGTAGCAGTAACAGACTTGACTCAAACAAGGACAGGAATGGGAGCTGAATATTCCTGGCTATAATGTATTCAGGAGGGATAGAGAAGGAAAAAAAGGAGGGGGTGTGGCAATTTTAATCAAGGATATGGTTATAGCCATGGAAAGGGTCGAGGTGCTGGAGGGCCCCAAAACAAAGTCTATCTGGTTAGAGTTAAGGAACAAAAAAGGAGCCGTTACGCTGGTAGGAGTATACTATAGACCACCAAATAGTGAGAAGGAAATAGATAGGAGCAAAGAAGGTTACAAGGAGACTTAATAGAGGTTTTCAAAATCATGAGGGGATTTGATAGGTTAGAAAGGGAAAAACTGTTTTCACTGGTGGGTGTGTCGGTGACTCGAGGTCACAGATTTAAAACAGTTTCTAAAAGAAGCAGAGGGAAGGTGAGAAGACATTTTTTCATGCAGTGAATTGCTCGTATCGGGAATGCATTGCCTGAAAGTGTGGTGGAGGCCGATTCGATAACAACTTTTAAAAACGCGGTGGATCGGTATTTGAGGAAGACGGGTTTGCAGTGTTATAGGGAAAGGGCTGGGGAGTGGGATTGACATTACATTGCTCTTTTCAAAGAGCCGGCACAGACTCGATGGGCCAAATGGCCTCTTTTTGTGCTGTATGATTCTATGATGATATATAATATATGTAAAATATATATATGTAAAATATATATGTAAAATATATATGAAAGGGCACTGAAATCAAGGCATTAACATTCATCTGCACATTCCAATTCCAGCAAACCCACATCAAGAAAAAAGATAACTGGATCCCAATGAACAAGTCTTGACCAGAAAACCATCTAAACAAACCAAGAGTTCTGAATTTGGTCTTGTTCTTTGCATTGTCTCCCCAGTGATAATCAGCTATACGTTTGACACATTGTTTTTCACCCTAGGTTCAATGAGCTTGCATTGACCATCAAAATAAATTTGTATCCAATATCCAGTTACATCTTTCACCAGCACAGTTGAATCTTATCGTTTTCATACCTCGGTAAAGAGGGCAATTAACTATTCGGGCTAATTTTTCTATAGTCTGAAACTTATGTCACTAAAATCCCCAATTCAGCAAAATAGCAGGTCTATTTACTGCCAGCTCTTATTTGGGAGGTACTATTATCTTGAACCAGTTCTTTAAGTAGAGAATCTTTAGCCACTTATTGCTAAAAGTACTGGCTCAAGACAATAGTAACAGCAATAGAGTAGACTTGATCATTTTCAAGGATGAGCTAATTGCAAAAATCAGATATAAAATTCTGGGACGGCAGAATAAACAGTAAAACTTTGAAAACTAATTTATCACTAAAAGGCTCACTATTCTAACTAAACAGTTGTTGTTATACAGTTGCTTTCCTTTTTTGAACAATTGCTTCAAAACTATGCCAAAAAATTAAATCTGGAGTTTAGTTTAAAAATATTTTTTTACAGCCTGCTCTTTGTTTGGGGAAAAAAAGCTGCAGTTCATTCAATAAAGTAGTTTACACTGGAGCCCTATGATTTAAGAGGACTTCCACAGCTGCGTATTCAAACAAAACTAGTGATATTACAGTTGAACATGCTTTACACTAGAATACTCCCATCACCCCCAAAATCAGTGTGAAGTCCTGGAGGATTCCAATGGGACACCATGAGAATCACATCGGCTTGCCAACATTAAATAAAAATCTGTAAATGTCAATATTTGTCTGTTTTTGTGACGCCACAATCTGCCGCAAATATTGATATTATTTACACAGAATGGTGCACTGCAGGCACTGTGAAGCTGATTTAGATTAATTGGTACTTACATGGTGCACGTTAGGTGTGCTGATACTCCTCTTCATATGCCTTCCTTTGGATGAAAGTGCTTCTTTGACTGTGACTGCCTAAGACAGAAAGATGGAAAACAAAATCAGCAGCTGCCAAACAAAGTCCTCCAACAGGCCCACGGATGTTGAACACTTTGGACACAAAGGTCCAACAGATTGTCAAACTAGCTGAAAACCTAAGGGCAGGGGAAGAAAGGCAGTATAAGAAATTAAAATAAAAATAACATAAAAATAAGATTCAATAATAACTTTCAAAAGGGAATTGGATATACACTTGAAAATTTACAAGGAAAAAGTGGAGGAGTGGAACTAATTGGGTAGCTCTTTCAAACAGCCGGCACAGGCACGATGGGCCAAATGGCCTCCTCTGTGCTGTAAGATTCTATGATTCTATTCTACAAATACAATTGTACTGTAACATCTATCAAAATAACTGCAATTCCTGGATTTTTTTTAGATACGTCATTCTGCTAATGATCTGCTGGGTGAAGGCTCCACTGGTGCAGTACTCGGCCCTGCGAACCAGAGGATTGCAACGTGAATTCCGAGTCTTTGATGAATTGGCTGGGCTCAGTCAGATGCAACAGCAGACTGGCTACAATTGGTTATCATTCCAGTTCGGGCTGGGGCTGGTATTTTAGCTCAGGGCCCCTGCCAGCTACGTGAAGTGACATGCAATTGAGTTTCCATTGGGAGATATAAGATGGGGTGATCCAATGACTCAGTTTTACAACAACACTATTACAACTACATTTAGCCGCAGTGAAGATTAACTGGATTTAACTGGTCAGACTCTGACCTGACGGAGGCGCTCCAGGCTCAGGATGTTCTCCACCTCCAACACTCCTCTGGTATATTTCTCAATGTAGGTTTCTCCATTGCCCGAGCTGTCGATTTCACCCTTTGCTGCCATTAATGCCAGGGTCTCTCGATCCTCAGGCTCTTCTGAGGCCTGAATTGAAGAGTCAAGATTACAAAACAGCTGAAACTCAGCTGCATACAACTAGTTGTGAAGTCAAAACAAAGTTGCTCGGGGAGTGGATTTCAATGCACTGCACCCAACAACAACAATGGCAACTTGGATTTATATAGCGCCCTCCACGTCGGACGGCATCTCAGAGCACTTCACAGTAATGTATCCTGGGGACGAGCTAGGAGGAGGGGGAGGAAGGTGACCAAAAGCACGGTCGAAAAGAAAGGTCTTCAGCCAAGACCTGAAAGTGGAAAGAGAGGGGGCGAGGCGAAGGGAATGAGGAAGGGAGTTCCAGAGCCTCGGGGCATAGTGGCTGAAGGCACGGCCGCTGCTGGTGGAGCGGAGGACTCCAGAGACAAGGAGGAGGCAAGTCTCAGTGGAGCGAAGGCAACGGGCACTGTTGTGAGGAGAGAGGAGGTCAGAGAGATAGGGGGTTGCAGAGGAGCGGAGTAAGATCTTCACCCTTAATATTTCTCTCCCCTTGCACAAAAAGCAACAACTCGCACATCCCAAGATCACAAGAGGGGGTCGAGTGCACAATTGGGAATCGGACTTGGCAGACAATGGGAAAGCTGGTGTGGGAATTGGGAATACCACATGGGCATAGTAGGGGAGGTTCCTCTCTGGTAACTGGGACTGAGACATTTTGTATGGCAGAACAGAGAAAGCTTTACTATGAACTCCAAATGGGAGTGTAGCACACCTGGGAACTGCATAATATAGATGCTGGTATCGACAATGTTGCATGTTTTGAGTGCACAGATTCATCAGAATAAAACGTTGCAATAAATCTGTGTACATTTACACCACTTATCCCCACCTGATAAAATGTTACTAGATTTTACATTTTTTTTCAGTGCGACAATTGAACATTGAATCACACCTGCAGTGTACTTAGTTGTGATGTTTTATGGTCCGTCACCCCCCAGAGGTCATCGTGACACCCATATAGTTTTTAAAAGGTTAAAAAGTATTCAATCACTTATGAACACTAGTAAAACAGGCGTTCTCTAACCTTGCGGAGGTGAATCCAGTCACTTAACATGTCAGTCACTTAACATTAGAAATAATCACTACATGGTCAGATGAGCCACTGACTGAATAAAATTTCCCTTCTTCAGCTTCAATACCCTACATTGGCCTAACCTCTTCTCCCTACAAAGCATTTGTTAGCTCACAGCCTCAGCTTTCGCAGAGATAAGAATGGCAGTGATTTACCTTCGGTATGTTTGAGACTATTTCATATGTAACGCCACAGGAATGCAGAATGTTTTTGTAGGACATTCGTCGTTTCAAACTCTGCGTAAAACTCTGCAAAATAAGTTTTCGGAAAGATAATTTGAATGAATCGCTTGGTTTTGTAACAGGGAAAAATATCACCAATAGAGAATACTGAGAGCCATAACAGTAGATTCATTCATTAGAGATGGTCTAATTCCAGTTTAACCTTTCCACTGCAGGCTTCTACAGGGAATTCAATACCACCTCAACAGAGTTTGTTGAAACTTCCAAAATGATCATCGCTCAAAAACGCCAGTTCATTCTGTGAAAACATGTTTCTTTCCAAAAACACATTGAGGGTTCATTAAGGAAAAAGTCAGGGTTGAAATGACTAATATACTAATATACTTATCATCAGGGTTCAAATGTATTCACTGTAATTATACTGTGTTTGAGTTTTACATTTACACTTTGACTTTAACCTGTTGTCTCAATTACATTGCATCTGTCTTACCATTAGCAAGTATCCATTTGCATAGTCTTAACTTCATGACTTTGTGGTAATGTTAATGATCATATTCGACTAATTTTAATTTTTTCTAGAAATCAATAAACCATGTCTTTTTTTTGCTCGGATTACAAACCATACAGTGGTATAATTTGGGGTATATATTTTTTCAAAACTTAGGCAAATATTGACTTCAAGAATTAAAAAAAATCTTCCAAATATTGCTCGTTAACTGACACCATGAAGTAGTGAAGATAAGGTTAGTCACCAAGTGGGTTTCCTTCGTTCCTGGTGAAATTTGCTGCAAAATTCAAAGCTGGAGATTCACAAATCCCAAGCTGCAAAGTCTTAAAGTGAGGCCCACAAGCGAGGTATGGCCAAATCTTGGCCTTGCTATACGGTGAACAAATGCTAATGTGTAAACTTATTCTGAGTCTAGTTTTTTTAAAAGAGTCAAATATTGATTGTTAACACCACAACGCCATGAAGTTAAGGCTATGTAAATAGGAAGACAGATTGAGAGTGTTATGATCCATTTCATTTGGTGAGAAACCAAAATAAGTTGCACATCAGAATTTCCTACCTGCTTGTTGTAAACATTGACAGCAATTCGCTTGCGTAGTACTAGTTCCACAGCAGCTGGGTGGCTCAGCTGCACTGTACTCTTTACAATCAAATAAACCCGCTCATTCTGCGGAGTCACTTTGTTTAAATGCACAGAATCGTGGACCGAGGTGTCCCAGGATGCAACTGCCGAGACCTGAAGCCCAGCAAGAGGGAAAAATAGTGGAGCCATTTATTGGAGTTGTTTAATTGGGAGTCTTAATTTCTTCTTAAATTCATCACTAAAAGATAAATCCTGTTAGTAGGAGGGTACATTTGTGTAGTCGATACGATCACTAAAATTTAAACAAATCTGAATAAAATCGAGATAAGATAATTGATATTATCTGTCAACATTTAAAAAAAATTGGAACCCTCCAATTCTAAATATAAAGGGCATGCCTCCTCCCCCCCACAAATTTTAAACAAAAATGTAAAATGGCCATCTTGTATTTGCATTCTTTTCTCTCCCAGTGAAGATCTACAATAAAACAATTCTAAAAGCAAAGCTCACAGCTTTATCATTTACACTGGAACTCAAACTTAGTCTTTTGCCAAACCTGCTGATTCAGGACATGAAGTGGGCAGTGGCAGGACTTCAGTCTAACAAAGTAACAGAAGTGAAATAATAATCCTTGCATTTGATATAGCGCCTTATATCGTTGAGATGTCTCAAAGTGCTTCACAGAATATACTGTAACGTGAATTGACTATTTTTGGGGTGAAACAAGAATTGACTGTATATTTTGTGGGTGAATAAGAGAGTAAAGGAAAGAATAAGGAGTTTTCCAGCCAGTTGGAAACATAAGAGTTTGAGAAAACTTCTCTAAATATGTTGTTAATCTCCATTTATAATAATATTTTTTTAAAGGGATTATTGCCCACGGAAAAGCCATTTTACAATCAACTAATGACAGGGTTCCTAATGACAACAAAGTACGAATTCATTAACACCACAACTGGGAATTGGATAATACCAAGAAGCAACAACAATAGGTGGACCTCACTGTATCAGCCAATATCACGCAAACATACACTTGTGTGTCAAACTGGCTCATTTAGTAGCAGTCTCGCCTCCAAGTCAGGCAATGAGGATTCAAGACCATGGTGGGACTTGCACTTATACAGTCTAAGCTGACAGTTCAATGCGATGCTTGCGGTGTGCTGTATTGTCGAAGATGCCATCGTTCGGATGAAATGTTAAACTGGGGTCCCATCTGCCTGTTCAAGTGGATGTTCTCTTTGATGGTGTCTTTGGTCACCCTCCCATCTCTCTGCCTCCCCTCACCCCTACACCCCCCCCCCCCAAGCTCGGGCCCTGACGCCTGACAGTTCAGCGCTTTGGGACGTCCTCCAGACATGAAAGGCGCTCTATAAATGTAATTTTGTTGTTGTTGTTGTTGGATGTTACAGGTTCCATGCTACTATTCGAAAAGAGAAGGGAGTTTCTCCCTGTGTCCTGGCCAACAATCCCCCAGATAAAATAGATCAATAATTTTGTGGCTATTTGTGGAACATTGCTGCATGCAATTGGAGTGCCATGTTTCCCTACAAATACACAGTCACTCCACAGTAAAATCTTGTGAAGTGCTTTGGGACATCCTCGCAACATGAAAGACACTATACCAAACATTATTATTAAATGTGTGCTTAAGGGACTTTTTACGGTCTCTTGAAAGTCAGTGAGAGAAGTATGAAATACAAGTAGAGATTTGTGTACCTCCTCCTCACTGTGCTTGATGATGGGCAAATAGAAGAACTGGCTGCCATGTTCCTTTGGTAAGATCGAGTTCACTCCTGGTGCGTGGGGACCTGTGAGCTGCTCATTGGCACTGAGATCATCGGCTAAAAGATTCGTAACAAGAGAAATAAAATAAACTTGCAAGAAAAATAAATGTTTCTTCATTTCAAAAATGACTGCTTCAAAGATGCAATAACATTTCTTTCCTCTCCTACAATCATAGATATAGCGCAGAAGGAGGCCATTCGGCCTATGGGTCTATGCCAACTCTCAGATCAAGTATTCATTCAAGTATCCACTGCCCCGCGCTGTCCCCATATCCCTTCAAACCTGTGACCTCAACAGTAAAATGCACTGGAAATTCCCCCTTCAACCTCTCTCCACTTCCCCTAAACAAATAAAACATTAATTCTGACTCGTGTGCAGAATTACTTGTTCTTGTAAAGCACACAGAGACATTACCCTGCATGAACGGTGCTATATAAATACAAGTCGTGGTAAACATGTTCAAATGACTATACGCTCTATGCATTTTGGAGGTGTTCCAACCTCAAGAGTTTATTTTGGAGACAGTAACAGGAGCTCTCAGGGCCTAAAGCCAAACAGTTGCTACCTCTTCTCACAAGTTTGCAAGGAGTCTGTGCAATTAAATGAAAGTGTTTAAAGATCCATGTATAGGGGTAATAAAGCAATATATACTACTCAAATGGTAACATCTGTTGGTACATGTCTACATTTAACTCATTGTGTACTGCATATAGTTTAACCAGTCATTCTATTACAGATGATAAATATATATGTGAAATAAATTAGATATGCATGAGATTCAGTACCAATAAGTTCATGAAGCTTTGAATATACATTAAAACCTCCAAGCAACTAAAAACCTATACAGACCTGTTTCATCCACTGACTGTTCATTATTCCACCAAAAATGATGATTTTCTTGTCCCTAACCTTCATTCAGAATCAGAGCAATACTAATCTCACACAAGCAAAGGAGCAGTTTGCAATGAAAGTCGTCCAAAGCATGCAATATTGAAAGTGGGGTTTTACAGAAAAATAATCTGCATGTTTTGACTAGGGCAGACATGACATAGATGATACAAGATTTCTGGTAAACAGGTTTTAAAGTACCTTACCATTTAAATCAAGGAAGAGTACTGGAAAGTGAGCTTCCATTCCTGGCAGTGGTATCCTGCAAGATACAGGAAAAAAGTAAAGAAAGCATACATATTAAAGAATACTATTTTTTGACAGGAACAAGCAATGTATTCCCTGGCCCAACTTATGAACAACAACAACAAATTACACTTGTGTAGCACCCTTTACATCGGAAAGATGTCCCAGGGCGCTGAACAACCAGGGGTTTTGGACCTGAGCTGAGAGTTGGGGTCAGAAGGGGAGGAGGGCAAGGGGTTGGGAGGGTGGTCAAAGGTACCAAATGAAATAAGTAAGGACAATGATTTGCTTTCAAATATTCTCTTTAAAGTGCAGCAGCCCCATACCCTTTCAAACACTATTCACCAGTTGCCCAATGCGCTTCCTGGTTTGAACAGATTTCCACATCTGGGCTGTATGATGCGCCGTAGATGCATATGTGTTCAAGTGAAGCCTATAAGTTTGTGCTTTTCAATCTGGCAAAAAATAGTACTCATGGAGCAAGGAACCAGAGAAGAAAGTCAAATGTCGAACAAAAAATCATAGAAAGGTTAGCACAGTTAGAACTGAGATAGAAAAGAATAACATTAACAAAGAGTAAGAGAATAGGAAATAGGATAGAATTAAATGTGTGGATGATCAAATTAGTATGATATTGCATTTTAAATTGCGTTTAACATCTTAGTCGTTTCAGCTTAATATTACAAAATAATAAATAATAATCCTTGCATTTGATAAAATAATAATACTTGCATTTGATAAAGTGCCTCATCATCTTTTCAAGACGTCTTAAAACCCTTCACAGAATATACTGTAAACTGTATATTTTGTTGGCGAAAAACTGCAGCCAAATGTACACAGCAGTATCCCACAAACAATTGTGGATTGAGTGACCAAATTATTATTTTTTAAATTTAATTTATTTTTTTGAAGGGATTGTTACCCCCAAAAAAGTGATCCACCAATTCACCAACAACTGGGTTCCTACTTACTGCTAGGCAAGCAGAGATGGGTGGAGTAAGGAAACTTGCCAAACATTTCTCCCTGCTTGGGAATCGAATCCAGCTCCTCTCGCTTGCAAGGCAAGCGCTCTAACCAATATGCTACAGGACTTCACATGCTGATCTTACTATTATATTTAACGTGCTTAAACCAGTTAGCTCAGGGTGGCTGAATTTCTACAGACCAGCTAGCAATCTAAGGATTAAACATTGCATCAAGGTTGGTAATGGGAAGAGAAGATGAGAAGAGGGCTAGAGAGAAAGGAAGAGGTGAGGGGAAGGATGACATTTCTTTCAGCATTGCGAGCAGAGACAGTGACAATTTGCATTTGCAGTGTGGATATCCCATCAGAAGCAAACATTGTGAATGTTGCTATGCTTACACTTACTGCTCACAGGAATTTCAGTCCAATGATGTGCTCGCACCCAATGGTTGAGCGACATAACACCTGAACAAGCTGCTTACTCTCCCCAGGTGTGTTGTGTGGAGAGATTGACACAGAGATTAAAAGATAGCGGTTTTTTTTTGCTAACCAGTCAGCAGGAGCTCCTGGGATTCCACTGCTTGGAGCCGGTACAAGCACAGCATTCCTCTCCTCGGTCAGACCGACCCATTGTTCCACCAGCCGTGCCTCCCGCTCTACGTCATCTTCGGTTTTTTCTACATGGAAGATTATGAGTTGGCATCAGCTGTGATGCTTCAAAACATTTCAACATTTCTCATGGGCTCATTTGCCTTAAAATGAGTAAGAGTTTGGAAATTATTTAAGTTTGATTTGAAAGCTGATTTCTAATAGATTAGGAAAAACAATGTGGAAACAGGCATCCATATTAGTAATAATAAGTAATCCTTGCATTTGATATAGCGCTTTTCATGTCTTCTAGACGTCTCAAAGCACTTCACAGAATGTACTGTAAAGTGAATTGACTGTATATTTGTGGGCGAAACGCGGCAGCCAATTGCGCACAGCAGTGTCCCACGAATAGTCGTAGATTGAAATGATCAATTTATTATTGTTTTTTTTCTTGCGGGATTATTATTAGGCGTGTGGAGTAAGGAAACTTGCCTAAGGTTTTGCCCTGCTGGGAATTGAACCCAGGTCTCTCGCTCACAAGGCAATTGCTTTAACCACTGGGCTACAGGACTCCACTCCTATCGAATTTCTATATTACTATCGAATTTAAGAAATTTCCCAAATTCTTAAGTTTTAAGCCTAAAATCATGAGCAATTCAGTGTCGCTGGGGTATCCATTCGTAATTTCTGCCATTAAAAGCTTGTACGGGTTTGAAATGCTTTTGCAGCAGTTACTTCCACAACACCTGAAAATCTTTTTACATAACAAGCACACACTGCGCACGGACTGAAGCATACCTTGTTTCTTTATGACTTTCTGAATTTGTTCATCTAAGTATTCTCGACGCTTCATCAATGCGTCAGACCATTTCTCTCGGACCTCGTTCAAATCTTCCTCCTGATCAATTGCAATTGCAAGGGTGAAGGCATAAATGACAATTTACAATTGCAAGTGTCCATTTCATCAAAAGAGAAAATGTACTGAAAGAAGAACCACTAAATAGTTTCACCACGTGCTATTCGAGAGCTTGCACTGTTAATTACAATGGACCACTTATTGTTCTGTTTCCCAGTCATGGTTTTATTTTCGAACTTTGGAAGGAATTTGGACTGAGATCCTAGGATGTCCAGTCTACAGCTGTAACATACATATTAATGGATCCATTGTATTATGTACTCTCCATCATTAGAATGGATCCAATAAACACACTTCTCCAAATCCACTTTGAACTCATGCTCATTACTCTTTAAAACACACACACAATTGGAGGAACGTTTCCTTCAATTTTCAAAAAGTCTTTCACTAAGTCTGTACGTGTCTGTATCGCAGCACTTCTTCATTGAAACCATTTGCTTCAGTGCTGATTGTCCTTTAACTCACCTGCGGATTTGAAACAAGTACAGACTGAGGTCTGTAAAATGTTTGAAATGGTTAAGATACAGACCAGTGACAGATCACTTGCTTTGAATTACCCATGCAGCGGTTTCATGCACTTGTGCTATAAGCATGGAACAAGTGGTAGTCATAAGCAGTTTTAATACCCAATATCACAGTGGCAAGTAGCATATTGAAAGCCCTCATGAACGTTAGTAAATGCATCTAAACTGCAGGAATCGAAATACTCAATGTTTACCATTAATGGTAACTACTTTCTGGGGTTTGTGCAGTAATGTGTGTGGACATTTAAACATGATATTAGAAGTGGTCATAATGCTGTATTGCACACAATGATGGGAAATATAATTTGCTCTACACCATCAATCTGATTAAATAAATCCATGTTTCTTCTTTTATTTCGATAGGAATTTGTTTGAAAATATGGTACAAATGGATGGTTTCATGCTTTACAGACATAAGCAAACAAAACATCCACTGTGGAAACACACCAAGTCACTAAAGGGTGCAGGTTTTCTTGCCTCGGTCAATTACAAGGGACAGCGACTATCCATTGTGACCACTTTGTCCTGCTGGATTTCACTGGCATTTTCAAGCTCAGTTATTGTGAAGCTCTTGGACTTTTTTGTTGCTCAAAGTAGTATTTCGAACCCTGCTTTAGTGTTTATAGGTGAAATGGAGATGGAGCAAGTTTTTTTCCTATCTATTCTAAGAAGAAACATTTGAGAAACAACTTTTGCTCTCTGCAACTTCATCAGGAACAGAGAATAAAAGCAAATTCCAGTCTACGCCACCCTGGACAATTCAAACTCTTTGCAGCAAAAATAGATTTACAAGCGTTTCTAACCTCTGATTACAACCCCTTTTCTACAGAAAGGAAAGCGTTTCCCTAACTAATACACTTTGCAACACTTTACAGTACATCTTGTGAAGCACTTCGAGACATCCTCCCGGCACCATACCGAATGCAAGGATTATTATAACTAAGTGGGTGAGCGGTGACCTGTTTCTGATAATTGACAGTGTTGCTGTCTGACCACCAGGAGGTGCAGAGGAGGAGAACAAATGATTTCCTCAGGCTTCGTGAGGAAATACATGAACTCTGCTTCTCACCTTGCATTGGTGAAATGGGACACCCAAGTGTGAATTGGGCTGAGAAAAAGCTTAGTTTTTTCCGGAAATTAGGAAGGGTTTTACATTCTGAAGGTAAGGTGACAAGCAGGCGATCGAGGAGGAACAGGCAGTGAGCGCAGCACAAAAGCTTACAATTCCAGCTGACACGCAGAATGAGAAGAAATTATAAACCTTAGGATGATGCTCGCCTCATCTGACAGGGACCCTAACCAGCTGTTAACACTGTAAACACTGAAAATGTGCTTAGCGTTTGGTACGAATCATTTACAACAATTCCCATAAAAACCTTAACATAAATTAAACTGTGTGACATAAGTCAAATAAAGTCGCATAAGTCAAATACAACTTTCAGACACTATGCAAAATGAAGAGAACCACTCAGAGTTTCCACGGAACTCAGCATACATGTTTAGCCTGCAATAGTTATTCACCCCAGGATAGTATTAGTATCGTATAATATGGTAAATTCAAAAGCACGAGGGGCACCGTAGCCTTTTAAAACCCAAACTTTCCATCTCCATTGCCTATTTGCAAGTCAGTTGCTGGTGGAGGTCAATGCTGTGCTTCATGCCATGTAACGTATGGGAGAAACGATACCTGATAACTATCCATATCCTCCTTCTCCTCTTTCTGGTAGGAGAAAATAAACTCAGTAAAGACACTGTCATGCAAACACATCAAAAGAAAAACACTGCACTTCATCACTCATGTGTCATAAAGTTCTGAATATTATTTTGATACAATAATGCTCGATATAATTCACCAGTGCAAAAGATGGAACCCCCACCCCTGAAATTCGCAGAAGGCTCTTGTAGAAAATGGATTCAGTGACCAATACACATAGGCTAATTGAAATACAAACCAACTGATGGAAAGTATCAGCCACTGTAGCTGCTCTCTCTTCTACTGCAGAGCCCATCACATCTGTCTTTGAGCCACTGTTGAAAGAACTTACTGTGGGGTGGTTATTGAAGCTGGATTTTTTAGGTTGTAAAGAGTTAAAGGAGGGAAATGTCCTATTCAACTAGATTGTTTCATCCAAATTGAGTTTAATTCCTGTCAAAAATGTGAGTTGACTGGTGAAAAGTAATAGTTTTAGCTTCAGCCAATGGAAGCAAACTTTAAATATCATCGTGCCCCCATACCAACCCTTGGATGTACAATGTCAAAGAAGATGAAAAAAGTTGAATCTTTTGAAATTCCTCTGAGTGGATAACATCCTTTCTGAATAAAAATCGGTCCAAAACAAAGTTGAATTGCTACAAAAGCGAGTAAAATTCATACAAACCTGGGAGGCGATAATAACATCAGATTTACGAGATACTCCAGCAATTCTTAGCTCAAAACCCATTTCCAATAAATGGTAGGACCCTTACCTGGTAACTATCCAAGGGCCTCTGGAGTTTAGTGGACCGAGCAGTGATGCATCCCACAGAGACAGCTAGAATAGCTTCCACCATAAGTGGCAACGTCCCAGAGTGCTGGACAGGTTTGACTGCAACCTGAATCCTGCGGGAGTGACCCTGAACAAGAGCACAGCAGAAAAGACTGGATTTAATCTAACCAAGGAATGCAAAACAATGTAGGCTAACCTCAAACAAAATTTCCTGTTAAAATCCTAACCAGATGGATACCATTTAACCGTAGACTTCTAGAACGCATCTCACTTGGAAGATGTGTATGGAAAATCTGGAGGGTATAAAGATTTAGTCCTATTGAAAGCTTTAACTATTCTGTAAGTTCACATTAGAGTTTACTGCCATAAGAACCAGCTTATTCTGAATCTCAGTTTTATAGTATGTTGAGCTACAACACACTATAGAGGCTATGACATTATAACAGACTTTGGGTCCATCAATAGGGCTCTGAGGGTCATCACGCCACTGCACAGGGGGTCTGATGGAGGCCCGAGCTTGGCTGGTGTAAAGGCTGTAAACAGATCCACTCCTGGGCTTTTATCCTGGGCCTGGATCACAGGTTGGAATGGACCAAGGAAGCGAAAGGCTGAGACACATGGCTGTGGATCTCAGCTCCACGCTTTTAAAGGCAAGAACTGTGATACATGATTAAAAAAAAAACACAAGCTGGAGACCCACTTTCTCCTCCCTCTTCTTCCACTCGACAGTTCAATGGGTAGTTGCACAGTGCGACACGGAAGTACAACTGGATCCCTCATCTTTGCTCAGGGCATTGTTCAATCAGAAGTCAACAACAATAACTTGCATTTATATAGCGCCCCTCATGCATGGTAGTGTCTCAGAGTGCTTGAGCGTGGTGGAGCCGAGCTAGGGGGGCTGGTGGGAGGTGGGGGGAAGACCTTAAGCACGGTTGAAGAGGAAGGTCTTCAGGTGCAACCTGATGGGTAAGGAGGGGGTAAAACGGAGGGATTGGGGAGAGTGTTCCAGAGTTTCTAGCGTAGTTACTGAAAGTGCAGGAGGCCGGAGCCAATCAAAAGGAAGTCACTATAAGTGGTCTCAATGGCAAGGAGGAGGAGATTGGAAGGAAATTATTGACTAGAATCCCATCGCCTGATCACTCTCCAGCCAGCGTATATGGTCCTTTTTCATATTTAAAATGGACCCATCCCAGCTAATGCACACACTGGGCTCTCTACTGTCCCGCACTGATACACTAAATAGAGAAAAGTAAAATTACCACATGAGAAATGTAATGAATAATTTAATGGCTATTAATCTGCAATTTGGCAGTTAGACCAAGGTCTAAGTCGATAATATGTACCTGTCTCAGCTGGAAGACACCCCCTGTGTTGACGTCCTTTGCTTGATTCAGTTCCACTGCAGTGTACTCTCCCATTTCATTCAGCTCTTGAACGGAGATCCACATCTCAATCCTACGTGTGACTTCACTCCACCTGATACAGCACAAAGTCAACAAACCAACTCAGACGTGCCAAGCTGAGTTATCTATTTATGGTTCTCAGACAAAGAGAGCACCTCCTCTCAGTACAATGTTGTCCGTTTGGGACAACATCTCAGCATTGAAAGCTTATAAAAAAAGGTTTGAGGACAGCATGTCTGCTCCACACTCGCTTCCAATTATAGCTGCCTCAGCTTTGTGTTCAAAACCACAGTGGGACTTGAAGTCAGAATCTAGGCTGACCCTCTGGTGCAGACCAGAAGGGGAGACCAATGTTGTCGGAGGTGCTGGTCTATGGTTGAGACAAGCAGAGACCTTGACTGCTTGTTTCTCGGGTGCCTGTTAAAGATCGCATGACTGTGTTTGAAAGGGAAGGGCACATAAAACTGACCATTCATATCATGGTTTTGCAGAATAGTTATTGATAACATATTACAGACTGAAGAGAAGTACTGTAACTTGAGTATCTCCCTACCTGTCTCGCAGTGTGCGAGTTTTTGCTTGCAGTGCATCAACCTCCCAGTGGGTCCTGCCATTACCTGCGCATCGATGGCCCCATACTTCAATTGCTAGAGCTCCTTCTGAAATAAACTCCAGGAACTCCTCGGTAACATGTACCACAAAATCCTGCAACAATGCATCAAAGCCTGAGTAAATGCCACAACTGGGATATGAAGTCTCACGTTTGACATGGGGATTTGTAAATGGTGAATCCCGAATGTGTCCCAACCAACCCATGGGAACTCCACTTGGGCACTGATCTCAGCTTTGACTTCCAAAAAGTGGGTGACTGAGCAGTTCCAGGTATCCGTGTTTCTCTATTTACAAATCCTTTTGCAAATTATATCCCAGAATTCTCTTAAATATTCACATGTAAAACTTTGTGACCCCCATCTCCCCAGTTCTCACCCAACTCCGTTGGCTCCCTATCCTTCAGAGGATCCAGTTCAAGATCTTCACCTACAAAGCCTCGCCCCACCCTATTTCAGTGACCTCCTAACCCACTACCAACCCGCCCACTCCCTCCTCCACGTCCCCCGACCTACCCACCCCACCATTGGCGGGAGAGTCTTCAGCCATTCTGCCTCCAACCTCTGGAATTCCATCCCCCAATCATTCCGCCTCGCCCCCTCCTTAGCCTCCTTCAAGTCCCGCCTTAAAACCCTCCTCTTCGACCATGCCATCGGCCACCCCCCTTCCCTTCCCCTCTCCCCCCCTGACCCCAGCTCGGGTCTGAATGCTGTACACTGTTCAGCTCTCAACGTGAAAGGCACTATATAAATGTAAACTTGTTGTTGTTGTGAAACCATAACTTTTTTTTTATTTAAATGGGTTGCTACTGTAGCATGTGCCATATTCACTCAGTTTCATCCAATGCAGAATAAAAAGCTTACCTTACAGTGGTCGAATTTGACAGTATATTGAACAGCCTTGTTTTGAATGGACGGCATATCTGGGTTAACCATGGGAGGAGCCACTGTTTGTTCGGAGTGATCCCAAAAGGTGTATTGGCAGAAGACAAAGTTTGAGAGGTTGGGGGGCAATCCTGTCGCTTCTTTTATTTTTACCTGTCATGTTAATGAAACAACATGAGATGCATGTTATTTCAAGGATTAGAAATTATCCTCAGATTCAAAAATGTACATATCGATGATGTAAACAGAGGATTCACACCAAGCACCAACAGTTACCTAAATAAGCCAATGTCTAGCATGCAACACACGTCAAGAGCCACTGGTGTAGTCATATCTGTTCATTCCAGTCCTGTACATAGGTATAGATTCTCAATGGTTTCGGCTAACAGAGACAAGAAAGTTGCAAGTTCGAATCCCGGTCTGTGCTGAGTTTCCTTATCTCAGTAAAAGATAGGCCAATATGGTTGACCTCAGTACTGCTTGGATTGGGAGAACAGGGATAAAAAATAAGCTGGAGTCGTGCTCTTGAACACTATGCAGAAACCCCTGCGTGAGTATGGCTGTCAGCTGTGGGCAGTGTTGGTCATTGTTGTGATGTTCTTGCCTTGGATCATCCCATCACTACTCACCATCTCCATGAAGCCTCACACAAGAATAATTGCCACTGCAAGGATTGTAGTATATCTTGATCTCAGCTCAGGTGTCCAGCATTGTGAATGCATTTTGGGACATCCTCCTGATGTGAAAGGTGCTATACATATGTAAACTGTACAGTATTATTATTAATACACGTCGCTGACACCTCTCAATGATGTTTTAATGGGAAGAGGATTGTCTCGCTTACCCTGCAGGTTAATTTCTTTGCCATGTGCACGATTTCGCCATTGCTGTCCATGACTTCGTAGCTCCCGCTTTCGCTGGAGTTCTCAGAGGAATCATCCCCGCCTTCCAGACGCTCGGGAACAGCACCGCTCACACGCATGAGCTCCACATGCAGTCGTCCGGCTACCTGGAAACACGAACAGACCTTTCAGTGGGGCTAAAACTTCTAGCTTGGAAAAAACTCGAAAAGTCCAGCAATTGGCCTGAAAAGATGGCCACAGAACCAGCTTTGCCAGCCTTCGTGATTGTGATTTTCCTAATTCTCCCAATTGGCACAGCAAATTGCCAATGCTGCATTTTCAACCCTTGCGTGTTATATGAGAAAAAAAAGGAATAGATGATAATGAGGAGATTAGCAAGGGGTTGTTAGGACAGGTGGAGATGTGTGTAGACTAGTTTGGTTGGACAGCCTGTTCCAGTGCTGCAGATTGTTTTGATACTAAATTCAATTACCCCTCTAGGATTTTACTGGGGTATTTAGAAAATAATGGCATTTTGGTAACGACCAATATCCCAGTTAGTGTTCGAGATAGGAAGCGCCAAAACCATTTGAAATCTGAAGTGATCTGATCAGCTGGAAGCACGCAGAAAGCCTCAGAAAAAGTCTGAGTTTAACATGAGACGATGCAGGGCTCCGCTTACCTCCCCCTGCTGGCTGATGATAGGAACCGCATACTGAAGCCTCACATCGTGATACAGACACTCCAAGAAGACATTCGCTACACCAATCAGGTTATGGTTTTCCTGAGCCTCGTAGAAAGGATCCCCACGTTTACTGAGAATTTTATTGTACTGCAATAGGATAGAAAGATACAATGGTAATATGGTACCTGTCAATAGGGGTGTATCTGCCAACATAACATGGGTAACATGGCATCATGGAATCGTAGAATTATACAGCACAGAAGGAGGCCATTTGTGGCCCATCATGTCTGTGCCGGCTCTTTGAAGAAAAGCTATCCAATTCAATCCCACTTCCCACGCTCTCTCCCCGTAGCCCTGCACACTTGTCCTCCCCAAATAATGATCTAATTGGTAATACATTGAACCTGAGCAAAATGAGAAGGGAGCACAAGAAGCCACCCCTGACCAGCCAGCTTTCAGCTCAGGAACTGCAAGGAGCATCGGCAACATCAGCAGGTAATCCCAGCCACCCAGAAAGTAAGCGTCAGCAGCCACAATATAATGCGTCCAGTTTCTAACAGTTGATTTTATGGAAACTTACGTCCCTTCTCGCCCGACCCCAACCCCAGGATTTCCACCTTAGAATTAGTTTTGTAAAGGTTCCCCTCATACTCACATACTCCACCATATCCTTCTCCTTCCAGTCCTGATAGAGATCCCTCATGTCAATCAGTTTGTTCTCCAGCTTCTCAATGGTCCACACTTGGGTGCCTTTTCCCCTGCGCCGCACTTGAATCGCTGGCTCACTCACAATCGCTCCTCTCTGTTTTGAACAAGTGACAATAACAGAAATCACTTACAGTAAAATGAGTAGCTAGCACATATTAGATCTAAGAAAGGGTAGTCAAGTCTACCAAACCAGTGATAAGCAATTAGCCCCACAGGCCACTGATATAGAAGTAACTGTAGGTCCTGAAAGGGAGATAAATACTTGGGAAGCAAGGATTTACAAAGATTGACAAACAATATACAGCACGGAAACAAGCTACACAGCCGAATAAAAGTGCTGCTTTTATCAAATCAAATCACTGCCTTCTTAAAAAGTGTCTTAAAAACACATCACTGTGCATGCGTACAATACGCAGACTTGGATTTATTGCGCAAAGGCAATCGTAAGCAACAAGTAACAATGAATAGATTCAAGACAGCTACAGAGATTCTGGGGTCAGGAACAGATGCAAGTCGGATTAACTGCTCTTGAAACCCCTCAAATATTCTCAACATTCCAGATGGACAGGTTAGGAAGCTGCAGACCAAAAAGCACAGGCAAATATAAACGGCTAAACATGAAACAAATGAAATAAAGTAATGCCTGGGAAGGAAGGAAGGAAGGAAGATAAAGTACAGAAGCCTTTCAGGAGTGTACATCAGAGACAGTAGAAACAGAAGGAAGGTAGCGTTTGGCTACACTGGCAATGCCGCCACAGAGATTTTACTCCACAAATCACAAAAGAAGGGATATAAAAGCCTCTTTTTTGCCCATTTGAGCTTAATCTTCCAGAATATGCATTCTGTCATCTTCCCACTGCAGAGTTGTTTTTTCACTGAGTGAATTAATAATAGTAATAATCATTGCATTTGATATAGCGCTTTTTACGTCTTCTAGACGTCTCAAAGTGCTTCACAGAATAGACTGTAAAGTTAATTGACTGTATATTTGTGGGCAAAACGCGGCAGCCAATTGCTCAAAGCAGTGTCCCACAAACAGTTGTGGATTGAGTGTCCAAATTATTATTGTTTTTTTTTCTTGTGGGATTATTATCAGGTGTGTGGAGTAAGGAAACTTTCCCAAGGTTTCACCCTACTGGGAATCGAACCCAGGTCTCTCGCTTACAAGGCTAGTGCTCTAACTACTGAGCTACAAGACTCCACGTCCTCACCTTAAGCATCCTTTGTATGGAGGGACAATAAGACAATTCCATAACTTTGTGGTCAGCATCTATATTTTGGTGGTGGGGGAAGGAAAAACTAAGTTGATGCCAGCTCTGCACTCAAACCGACATTACCCAGATATGAGACTTTTCAAGCTGGCAAGATAGTGCCATGGGATTGTAGCAAAATAAATGTGAATTTCAAGGGAATAATAAATGCTGATAATCCTTATATTTGATACAGTGACTTTCACGTTTGGAGGACATCTCCAGGGAACACAACAACAACAACAAAATTACATTTATATATGATAGCAACTAGGGGATCTAACAGAAAATTTAAGAGTTGCTTCATGCAGCGCGTAATGAGATTGTAGAACTTGCTGCCTGAGGCAATGGTTGAATCAGATGATGCAGATAATTTCAAGATGAAGCTAGAACTTTACATGAGGAAGAGAGGAACAGAGGGTATGGGTGAGAATACGGAATGGGTGAAGACTCATGTGGAGCATAAACAGCGGCACGGTCTGGTTGGCCTGAGAAACCGGTTTCTGTGATGTACATTCTTTGTAAATCTTTGTAAAATCTCGAAGCGCTTCATATGATGTACTGTAACTTGCACACAACAATGTCCCACAAACCCCCATGAAGTGAATGACCAATTTTATTTGGGGGATTGTTTGCTAGGATACTGGGAGAAACTCCCTTTTCTTTTTGAATAGTGCCATGGGATTGTTAATGTTCAATAAATATGCAGACAGGCCTCAGTTTAATGATTCATCTGGAGGATGGCACCTTGAACAATGTAGCATACCCCATCACTGCATTGGAGTGTCATCTCAGATTTTGTGAGTTCCAACTGCTGAAGTGGGAGCTTGAACCCACAACCTTCTGACTCAGATAAGAGTGTCTCCAAATGAGCCTGGCTGAAACCGACCTCCTAATGACAAGTGAGGTGCAATACCTGGGGGGAGAGCAGCCTCTCACAATCACAGCTTTCTGCAGTCATTTCTTGTTGACCAATGGGAGGAGGAGTGTACGATGATATTTTACAGATAGAAGCTAAGGTAGAATGTTATAAACTGATCTTTAGGCTGGAGTTGAAACCAAATACAGTGGAGTGAAGGTGGAGGCCAAGGTGACAGTAGCCTACCTTTCTGTTAGCACTGAGGTTTGCTGCTGGGATTTGCAGGGTGACTTGGTAATCCGTCTGCTTGGTCATCTCTTCTGCCAGAAAGTTGGCCTCTCTCACCAAAGTGTTGGCTCTCACTATCTGCTCTCTCAGCTTGGCCAGGCTGTGCCGGAACAGCTGATCTCTGCAACAAAGAGAGACAAACAAATGGTAAGCAGCTTCCATTCTTTCCGTCAGGTCACCCTGACAAGCCTTTGCCACCTATAAGATGCCCATGCTGCTAATGGTTAAATGGGATCACTTAAGTGATTTATGGATAAATCCCCGACACTTCACCAACATACAGTGTAACACTACTACACCAAGCATTTACATGCCGTTCACTCTGGACGATGATTTCAAAGCACTTCAATGGAGGGACAATTTAAAGGTTTTTGCTGTTTTGCCTTTTTACATTCATATTAAAGTTGACTCATGTTACAGACTCTCTTAATCGGCTGCGGAAGCCAATTTGATTTAGCACACCAAGTACTTTAGCAAACAAAGTTATGAATTGTACCATTTTCCACCTTGGACTCCTCCTACCTACCTCTCTTCAGACCAAAGTTTGACTTTCTGCTGTGCGGTTTGTGAGGTGAAGGACAGCCTCTCGATGCTGTGTCTGTGCAGTTTGTCTGGGGATAGCTGCTGCCGAAGCAGTTCCAGCTCCCGTTCATACATCAGCCGCTGCTCTTCCAGTGCATTATGTTTCTCCTCCAGGTACTGCTTCTCGAGAATCTGCACGACATTCTGTACAGGATCTGCAAGCAAAGACACACAACACTTCAGAGCCTAAGTAACAAACAGACACAGCACTTCAGAGACTGGCAGTAACAAACAGAAACACACAAACACAGCCCTTCACCCACCATCCAAAAATAATAACAAAGATGTGCAATCTATAAGTGACTTTGCTCAGCCTGCACTTGGATGGAACAAAAAACATTCCAAGTTTTGGGGATTTCCCAATCAATGCCTCGACCCCTGTGGGCTACATTATGGAGTTCTGTAGCTCAGTGGTTAGAGCACTCGCCTCGCAAGTGAGAGACCTGGGTTTGATTCATGCGAAGAGCGAAACTTTGGGCAAGTTTCCTTACTCCACATGCCTCTGTTTACCTAGCAGTAAGTAGGAACCCGGTTGTTAGCCAATTGGCGGATCGCTTTTCCAGGAGTAATAATTTCTCCAAAACAAAATGGCCACAGAACAACCTTTGCTGGCGTTCGGGATTGTGATTTTCCCAATTTGTTGGCAGTGAATAACACTATTTTCTGGGGTAATAATCCCTTCAAAAACAAACAAAAAAATTATTTGGTTACTCAATCCTCCACTGTTTGTGGGACACTGCTGTGTGCAATTGGCTGCCGCGTTTCTCCCACAAAAAATACAGCAAATTCACTTTACAGTATATTCTGTGAGACGTCTCGAAGACATGATAAGGTGCTATATCAAATGCAAGGATCATTATTATAAGTCCATTCTCTCTGAGTTTGCCATTGCTGGCGCTCTGAAGGATCAGCTATACGTATGCCTTGCAATGTACCACAAACAGCCGTAAAATGAATGACCAATTTTACCTGGGAAACAGTTGACCCAGATACAGGGAGAATCTACCTTTCTCTTTTTCAACAGTACCAAGGCCTCCCATTTCAGATAGCCCACTCGCTCCCTCCATAACCTGGAAATGTTATGTTAAGGCGTACAGCCCTCAGCAGCCAAAAGATTGCACTTTTGACATTACTGAACTGAATTGTCACCCCAAACTGTGAAATATTCCAATGTGAGGCCTCTGACCCAGAGTCAAGCCAGATTGCTTACATTTTATACAGCGCCTCAGCACATCAACATGTTTCAAAGTATTTCAACCATTAAGTTACTTTGATATGGAATGATTATTACGTAGATAAACTGGCAGGTAATGTGCACCAGTGACGTCTGACAAACAAACACCATGGGACCAATTAATTTATTTTGGTGAATTTGGATGAAGGAAGAATATGGGATAATGTACAGGAGAGCTTTTGCTCTACAAAATAGTATCATGGATTCTTTATAAAATCCACCTGAATAACATGGCCTCAGTTTAATATCTCTTCTAAAAGACAACTCCTCCAACAATGTAATGTTCTCCCAGCACTGAATTGGGGAGTTCTAGATGAGGTGAAATTCTATGGTTGAGCTTTCAAGGTCAATCTCAAGACCTCACTGTTTGACTGGGCTTTTGGTCAACCTTCCCCTCCCGCCACCCCTTGTATCCCACCCCCAGCTGGAGTTCCTAGTTGCTATTGTTAAACTCCTTGGGGCATCCTCCCAATATGAAAGGTGTTATATTAATGTAAATTTGTGTTTTATTGTAACACACAAGCCCAAAGACAAGAGTGATATTAACTGAGCCAAATGACACTGGACATTTTTTAAAAATGTTTCAAAGATGGCTAGAAAAACAGAATAATTCTAGCAGTCATTTAACAGAAATATAGTTTAAAGCAGGAGTGGGCAATTATTTTGGCTGGCGGGTCACTTCACGAGTTTTGGTAAGCTTTGTGGGCCACACACTTAATATAGATACAAATGCTTAATAATAGCTCAACATCAAGTCTTACACTTGTACATGCATAAAATAGTCTATATAATTGACATTCACTAAAATTAAGTTAAATAAAAACAACTCATTGAGCAGACATTTATTCGATATTTATTCATTTATTCACATATTGATGAGAAGGTGAGAAGCTCACTCAATGGGAAGAATGAAAGTGCTGATGTGTGCTAACCAGACAATTGAAGTCAGGCATCGTCTCCGCTGTTGCAATGTGGAGTACAGATCTATGTTTTTGATTTATTAAATTTCATCACATAAAATGTCTCCTCGCATGTGTACGTTGATCCAAACAGCAAAGCATCCTCCAGGCATGAGCCTTTATTTTTGGAAATGTATATTCATTAAGAGAGGCGTAAAAACTGGGAAGCAGCACTGATTTGAATTGCTCTGCAAGCAATGGATCACATTGCAGGTCAATAAGCTCGAGTTGGAGGTCAAATGGGGCATTGTCAACATCAAATGAGAAAGATGAAGAGATCAAAGACAGGTCATTTTCAATCAAATTGAAATCCTGGAATCGGCGAGAAAATTCAGCATGAAAGTCAAACAGTGACGAAGTATACTTTTTAAGGCTTTGATCACAAATAGTAACCTGATGCAAAGTTGGAAAGTGGGTGAACTGCCTGTTTCCTATCTGACGCGATAAAATAAATAATTTCGTCATAAATGACTTGACATTGCAATACAAATCGTGCACAAAGGCTCCCTTCCGTTGCAGTTTTGAATTCAGTTCATTCATGTGGCCCATGATATCAACGGCAAATGCAAAATCAGAGCGCAATTTGCATCATTCAGCTGTGGGAAATCCAAATCTTTTTGTTTCGTGTTCAAAAATCAATCTCAGTTCTCAGTTCCCACACTCTTTTCAAGACCTTTCCTAAACTTAGCCATCTTACATTCGTGTGTTACACAACATCCGTGTGCTCGGATTCCAATTCCTCAAGCAGTTACAAATTGCCTGTGGTTTAATCCTCTTGCTCGAATGTAGTTGACCACTTTCGTAACTGTGTCCACGACATTGCTTAGTTTTAGAACACTCTTACAGAGGACCTCTTTGTGGATAATGCAGTGTAGAAAAACAATGTTCTATTCTGGATTTGTTTCTTTGACTTGATCTTGAATTCTTTTCAGTAACCCAACATTTTTGTCAGATTTGGGCTTCCATTGGTGGTCACATTCACCACTTTTTTTCCACTCCACTCCTAATTTTAAGATACGCTTATTTACTGCCTCTAAAAAGTCTTCTCCAGTTGTCCTATCTTTCATTGACTGCATTGATGCCAATTCTTCTGTGAGCTCAAAATGTTTGGTGATGCCTCGAATAAAAATTATTTTTAATTTTAAAAACTAGGCTGTATCTTTGACATCACAACTCTCATCGAGTGCCAGTGAAAAACATGCAAAATTGCTTACTTTATTTTGTAACTGCACACTGCTTTTATTTTCTTTATGTATTTTATTTTTAATTTTTTTATTTTATTTGTTTTATTTTCCATGCACAATGCTAAAAAAATATTTAGAAGTCCATTCTTTGTTGAATATTTGGCCTTCAGCGTCCACTTTCTGCTTCTTTGATAAACTCATTTCGAATGAACGTCCTCTTCAGTGAAAAGTATAGCCACGGTTGCCGCACACGTGTTTGAAAATTTGCTGATCCGTACATTTCTGACGTCAGTCTGATTCAACCCTTAAGCGAGCGTGCGCACAACTAAGCAGTGCGATTGCCTGATGTTCCCGGTTAGAATCAAATGTGAAAATTTGTGGGACTTTCTGGGACTGAACGAACTATAATTTTTTCTATTGCCGTCACAATGACGGGCCAGATAGAATCATTTGGCGGTCTGGATATGGCCCGCGGGCCGTATTTTGCCCACCACTGTCTAGAATAACTGAAGACTAATCTGATAGAATTACACACCAATTGCTCCCCCGTACACAGTCATTTCACGTTCAATTTCTGGAGAACTATTTTCTGCTATGTTTATTTCTCACCATCTTGTGATTTAGATCCAGATCGCAAAACTGGATACAGAAATGGCATCCTTCCAAGCTAAAAGGTTGATGGTTATTTTAAGATGCACTGGGCTGTGCTAATGGTCTCAGAGAGCTCTGAGCCTTTGCATGTATCTGTGAGCTTAATCATGCCAGGAAGCTAACTGGATGAGCTCAAATTTCCTGCAACTAAATGTCAGCAAGACAGAAGCCATACTCTTTGGCTCCCGTCAATGTCTTCTCTCCTGCGGGTCTGAAATCCTCAACCTCCTGGGCTCTCCCTCAGACTCTCTGAAACCGTACACAACTTAGGCGTCAGGTTCAATTCCCAACTTTTTTTTCTACCCCACATCCGTTCCCAGATTAAGACAATTTTTTCCACCCCGCCACATTGCCCGCCTCCGTCTATACCTCACAACCAACCCAGTTGAAACCCTTGTCCACGCCTTCGTCACTTCCTGGCTGGACTACTTCAATGCCCTCCTCGCTAGTCTCTCCAGCTCCAGCACACACAAAATCCTATTAATTCAAGACTCCGCTGCCCAGATGCTCACCCGCATGAAACTCCATGCCCACATCACACTAGTCCTTGCCAAGCTCCACTGGCTCCCAATCACCGAACGGAACGATTTCAAGATCCTCTCACTTGTTTTCAAAACAATCCATTCCTTCACACCTCCCTACCTGTCTGACCTGCTTACCCCCACCTGCCGCCTCCACTTGACTGGCTCTGGTCTCCTAGTTTCTTCAGTCACTGGCTCTGAAACTCTAGAACTCTATCCTTCAATCCTTGCTCCCTCCCTCTCTCCCTTCAAATGCCACCTAAAGAACTTACTTTTTGATCATGCTTAAGGTCACCTATCCTCTCTATTGCACCCTGGCTCGTTGTCAGACTCTGTAAAACGCCCCGGGATGCTACCCAGCATGATAAATGCAAGTTGTTGTTCTTGGTGGTAACTATTTCAGGTCAGAGAGGGCAGCTTTTTCGGGGCAGAGAGGGACGCATGATAATAATCCCTCAAGAAAAGAAAACAATAATAATTTGGTCACTCAATCCACGACTATTTATGGGACACTGCTGTGCGTAATTGGCTGCCGCATTTCGCCCACAAAATATACAGTCAATTAACTTTACAGTATTTTCTGTGAAACTCTTTAGACGTCCAGAAGACGTGAAAAACACGATATCAAATGCAAGAATTATTATTATATATATTATTATTTTTCTCACTAGACATTTCACTAACAAACAACTGAACTATAGACAAAAGTAATAAGGGACAAAGCCAAATGTCTTTTGGAAACTACATTAAATTCAACTTGGCCACTAACCCAAATCAGCCTAGAATTGTGCACTCAGAAAGTAATGAAAAAACAGTTTTACAATATTCCTATATCTGCCTTTGGACCTGTCTTGTGGAAATACAAATCATTTCACCCAACAAAAAAGAGTTTATTTTCCTCAGCATTTCGTTCATCAACCAATTCATATTTTTCTGTTCAGCTTCGCATTCAAGGCCATCTAAGCTGGGCCATCTAGTCAAAGTCTATTCAGTCCTTCTAGCCCAACCAATAATTGGATAGCTCCTGATTCCTATTACATATTTCATGTTTGGTCTTATTAGACATCTAAATATTGAGTTAGGCTAATAACCCACTGGGTAACCATGTTCAAACACTCATACGTCCCCTTAATTAAGTTATTAATCGCCAACAAAAAAGGTTTGCAGGCGATTCTGGAATTCTCTTCATCGATCAATGAAACAATTAAGGACATATGCATTTTGTAAAAGTTGTCCCATGGACTATTAGCCCAACCTGCAAGTTACACTCCAATGTCTTATTGGGGCAAGATTTACTCTCCTCTCCACTATTCTCCTTTCTTCATTAGTTTTACAGTACTATGTATTTCTCCCTTTGTTTTTCAGCTCTTCCAGCTCACAGAGCGGGACAGTTGGTAGTGTATTTTTATTTTTGTATAGACACTAGAGAAAAGAGAGCCCAGTGTCCTAGCCAAAAAAACCCAGACAAAATTGGTCATTCACATCATGACAATTTGTGGGACATTGCAGTATGCAAATCATGCATCACTTTCGATCGTATAATACAATCACCACAATTTACAGTAAAATCTTGTGACCCACTTTGAGTCATTTTGACAACGAAATAAGTTTGCTGTGTCAAATCTAAGCATTATTGTTATTAATATAGTAAAAACATGACATTTAATAGCAGCCTTCCTTATCAGTATTCAAAAACCACCATTAATCCACAGCATGCACCTAAGTACGTGAAGATGACAATCCCAATCGGCTCATTTTTAATCTGCTCTGTTCAGCTTTGTCACAGATCAACATTTGAAAATCCAGCCAGCTCCAGTGAAAATCCCCACTCCTCCACCCGCCCTCTTCACTCAGCTAACAGAGTTTTGCACCACCAGCAACCACATCTTCAGCCACTATGCTCAATCCCTTTGCTTCGCCTCCTCTTTATATACTTTTAAATTCCACCTTAAGACCTCTCTGCAACAAAGAATATCTAAATGAAGAACTTTTTAAAAATATATGTCTTTAGAGATCGACCTCCACACCACAACTAAGAAGTTAGAAAAGTTGGCCCAGAAACAGTTACTCACCATTACTGCTCAGGGCTTTCATCATGACTTCCATCTGTGCAAACTCATAGCTATAGTCCGGTTCGGAGGAAGCTTCACTTGCCGTCTCCATGTCCTGTTCTGTGGCACCTTCGCGAGTTGCCTCACTTTCATATTCTTTTAACTTGTCCCTCCTCTTCCTCGTAGGTAGATTAATTCTATTTATTACATTGAAAAAAGCGAATCAAAAGCTTTAATTTGGGACTCCAATTTGTGCTTGTTTAGGTGACTGATCATATGATGGGATTTTTGTGAGCCTGAATTTATTTAATGCTGTGATTTTTTAAAGAGCAATTTCAGCACAGCATTTCAGCTATTCGGTCCACTGTGGCCAAGCCTATGCCCGTGCCAGCTTTCTCCATGTGTGACAAATGTTTCGCTCGTCCTCATTGTGGAAATCAAAACCTGAGGTGGGCACCAGAGCAGAACTCCACAGGGGTATCACATGACATATCCCTGGGATTCACTATTTACAAATCTGTCAATTTTGATCATAGACTAAATATCTAAGAGCAGCGGACATATATTATGCCAACTTTTCATCTGATCCTTGTCCATTCAGTTACCCCTATATCCCATTATTGCTTCTGTTTTTTCCTATTCAAAAAATCTAATTTTGTTCCAGGCTTTCCCATCAATTCCAACCTTTTGCAGGATATCTATCAATCTTCTGTGCTTTACTCAGTGTCAAGTGCATTTGCTGATCTTTGAAACTTGGAAAATAAAAGATGTTTTAATTATGACATACCTAAAGAAGTGGTTGTTTCCCCATAGAATTCTGTCCCCGTGCCAGAGGGAGTTTGGAACACGTAACAGAGCACCATTCAAGCAGGTCCTGAAAAAGTACAACAATTTGCATTTATATAGAGCCTTTCACGTCATTAGGACATCTTAAAGCACTTCACACAGCTTTCTGGCAGCCCAAAATGGCGGTGTGGGACGGAAGCTGAGAGGGAGGGAGGGGAAGGTGGCCAAAAGCACGGTTGAAAAGAAAGGTCTTTAATAGACTCATTTATGTGAAATCTGTTGTTAACTTTCTCCACACTTCTGAAAAAAAATTCAAACAAAACATCAAGTGTGACATTTGGGCTGGTTCCCTTCCAAGGCATTCAGTCAGCATGGAAACAAGCACTTAACTGAAGATTGCACGATGTGAGGATTTGCTACTTAACCCAGTTGTGGAGTCCTGTAGCTCAGTAGTTAGAGCACTCGCTTTGCAAGCGAGAGACCTGAGTTCAATTCCAGGCAGGTCAGGGCGAAACCTTGGGCAAGATTTCCTTACTCCACACAGAGCCTAATAATAATCCCTCCAAAATCAAAAACAATAATAAATTGGTCATTTTCAATCTACGACTGTTTGTGGGACATTGCTGTGCGCAATTGGCTGCCGTGTTCGCCCACAAATATACAGTCAATTCACTTTACAGTATATTCTGTGAAGCGCTTTGGGACGTCCTCCCGACGTGAAAAGCGCTATATCAAATGCAAGGATTATTATTATTATTATTGTCCATCTAACTATGCTTATTGGAAGAGTGTGCTTTGCTACTGTTGTCAGAAAGATACAGGGGTCAAGCACATGCAACCGGGTTTGGAAATAGTGTAATAATCCCTCAAAACCAATCTGGACACTCAATCCACGACTGTTTCTGGGACATTGCTATGTGCAATTGACTGCCGTGTTTTGCCCATAAAATATACAGTCAATCCACTTCATAGTATATTCTGTCAAGCCCCTTGAGATGTCTCAATGATGTGATAAGGTGCTATATCAAATGCAAAGATTATTATTATTATATAGTGAATCCCGCTGGTAACTGACAGAAGGAACCACTGGAACTCTTCTCTGAGCAGAAATAAATCACATCGCAGAGGATTTCCTGCAGCTCAGGGATGGCTCAGCAGGATTCAATATCACAAATTGAGTCCCAAACATAGCTTTTTTCATCAAATTAATTTCTAAGAAATCCAGAAATGTTAGAACAATTTAATAATCTACCTCTCTTCACAAAACAAAAAGCCCATTAACAGCAAGGCCAACCACACAAGGTACAATCTTCTGACAATATTAAAATCCCCAAGATTGGTATGAATAAAGAAGAACTCTTGGCCCATCTGATCTCATCCCTCCAGATCACCCACCCTTCCATCGTATCATCACAGCATCAAGCTGCTTTTCAAATGACTCCAGTGTCCTGGCCTTTACCACCTTTCCTGGCAACTCCTTTCATTTATTAATTATCCTTTGAGTAAAGAAAAACGTCCTGGTATCTGTCCTGAAATTAATAATAATCCTTGCATTTGATATAGTGCTTTATCACATCTTCAAGATAATAATAATCCTTGCATTTGATATAGCGCTTTTCACGTCGGGAGGACGTCCCAAAGCGCTTCACAGAACACACTGTAAGGTGAATTGACTGTATATTTGTGGGCGAAACGCGGCAGCCAATTGCGTACAGCAGTGTCCCACAAACAGTCATTGAGTGACCAAATTTTTTTTAATAAATAAATTATTATCCCCGGAAAAGTGATCCACCAATTGACTAACAATCGGGTTACTGCTAGGTAAACAGAGGTGTGTGGAGTAAGGAAACTTGCTTCTCGAGCAAGCTACGAGGCAAGTGCTCCAACCACTAAGCTGCAGGACTGCCCTTTGCAACTCTGAACCTGTCTTCTTGTTTTTACTGTCTTGTTGCATCCTAAAATATTGATCTGGATTTACTTTTTCAATCCCATTCAAAACTGTATGCACCTCTATGAGGTCCCCTCTGAGTCATCTTCTCTCAAGGCTGAAAAATGGTATCAGATGTGCAGACACTATTATACTACCAGAAGCTAAAATGCTGCGTTCTCAAACAATAGCATTTTAACAGCTGTGAATGTTCTTTCAGTGGTGGCTGAAAAATGTCAGTTCAAAATCCACTAGTGCTGGAGCCAAATGTTTGGGTATTTTTGATATGGCTTACATTTGGAGGAATGTTTATGGAAGCCACACTGACTAGCTGTGCCTGACACATCCTAATTCAGTCATGTCATCCATAGTGGGAGAGGAGAGTACCACACTAGATAGACAACTTAATGGAAAGTGAGCGGGACAGCTGCAAAATCATAGCTTGGCAATGTCCTCTTTTCCAGCTAACACTCACGCCCCATCCCACCCCCACCCGCCTGCCCCACTCTGTTCCAGCTGTCAATCCCCCCCCAACCCTCACCCCCATCAAGGTGTCGTTCACCCCCACTCCGCCTCCCCTTCCGTTCCAGCTGTCAAACATGTGGAATAACTGAACATTACAGCACAAAGCAGGCCATTTATCCATCACATCTGCTTTGGTGCACACCCAGCATATCATTGAAGTGTCTGCCGAGACTGAGCTCAAAGTCCTGACAAGGCGCTTGAATTCACAACATTTCAATTTAGAGGTGAGAATGCTACCAACTGAGCTACACAGACACCTAAATGTTAGTTGCTCTTCATTAATCAGATAACTTTAGAAGTGTTTCACAGATACCAAACTATGAGACTGTTACAAGTTGCTGGATTTTATTTGACACTAGTGAATAAAAATAAAGCATCGGAAGAAACAAGGGCAGAATTGACCTTAAATCAATGTAACATGTTAAAATCATATTTGTTTTCTTTGTGTATTTTCTCTAGCCATTAGGTGGCATACAAGAGCAGCCCAGGTTAATGATCTCTTAATGACCCTGTCTCACTATGGCGAAGCCACTGGCCTCTGCTCTCTTCACATATTATATATACATATATGTGTGTTATATGCATATACACATATATTTCCTCATATTATATATATTATATATATATAATATGAGGAAATTGCTCCAACCCCAAACTTTTGCGGTTTGCAAACTACCATAAGTGCAATCCCCTCGAAAATGATCCACCTAAAACTCAAACTAATCCATATGTACCTCTTAGTTCTAATAGTCCAATAAAACATGTATAGAATACATCAATTAAGAAACGCTTTCTGTGTATTTATGGATATATTTAATTGAGAACCTCATCACAGCATGATTATAGTCAACGGCAGGAAATCATTCTGTGAGTCAGAAAAGATGCTTTGCTTCACCAGTATAATATACATCCGCAAAAGTTAATTAATGTTGGAACAAACTCCTAATGTAACTTGTCTTTGAAATAATCATAGACTCTGATTATTTTCAGATGATCCCAAGCCAGAAGAAAAGGCATAGGTTCAGCTTTATGAAGGGCAGATACCAGAAAGTATTTCTTAATCCTTACTTTTGTTGTTACACATTTCACATCAGAACATGCCAACACGCCCCACAGGATAATCTGTAAACTGCAGTGACTTTTTTTTTTGTGTGTGTGGCCAAATGAGGCAGACAATTTGCACACAGCAACGTCCCACAAACAGCCATGACTTGAATGAACAATTTTTATTTTGCAGGATTGTTGGCTAGGACAAGGGTTAGAAATTCCTAATTCCAAAGTGCAGTTGGATCTTTAACGTCTACCTGAACAGTCAGACAAGGCCTTCATTTAATGTCTCACCTGAAGGACAGCATCTCCAACAATGCAGCACACCCCCAGCACTGCACTGAATGTCAGCTTAAGTGAGTTCCAAGTCTCGATGTGGGACTTGAACCCATCTAAGACCTTCTGATTCAGAAGCGAGAGAGAGTGCTCACTTCTGAGAGTCAACAGCTTGAAAGGATTTTCAGGAAAGGCAATAGATGCTGGATTCATTTAAGAAATAGCTTGATAAGCAATGAGAAGGAAGTATTCTGGAATGTTAGATGAAATTGCTGAATTACGTTTTCTTCAAAAGTACTTCTGACCTTTATAGGAGAGAGGCAGAATCATAACCCTTTTGGACGACAGGATACTTCTTATCTGACATAAAGACAGAATTTTGGAAAGGAGGGGGAGACAATGAAAAATAAAAAGTAATTATTATTTGTGGAGTCCTGTATAGTGTTTAGGGTAGCATGCTCGCCTTGCAAGCAAGAGGAGCAGGATTCGATTCCTGGGCAGGACAAAATCTTAGGCAAATTTCCTTACTCCACACGCCTCTGTTTACCTAGCAGCAAATAGGAACCCAGTTGTTAATCGATTGGCAGTTTGCTTTTTCGGGGTAATGATCCCTCAAAATAAAATAGACTACTCAATCCACGACTGTTAGTGGGACACTGGCTGTGCTCAATTGGCTGTCGAGTTTCGCTCGCAAAATATACAGTCAATTCACTTTACAATATAAACAAAACACAAAATACTGTAGATGCTGGGAATCTGAAAACAAAAACAGAAGTCGCTGGGAACACTTAGCAGGTCAGGCAGCATCTATGGAGAAAGGAAAGTGAGTCATCGTTTCGGGTCCACGACTGAACACAAAGGGTTCTGACGAAGGGTCGTCGACCCGAAACGTTTCCTTTCTCCATAGATGCTGCCTGACCTGCTGAGTGTTCCCAGCAACTTCGGTTCTTGTTTTCACTTTACAATATATTCTGTGAAGCGTTGGAGATGTCTTAATGACATGATAAGGTGCCATATCAAATGCAAGAATTATTATTTATTATTATTAAGGTCGTGAGTAAACCGCATAGATTTAGCTGAACAGATATGATCAAGTGATATGAATAGCAAATTTAAAATAAGGCAAAGAAAATTGTAAAATTTAAGAACATACAGCATTTTACCTGCCACGCAACAGGTCATCACAACTTATATATAGCTGCATAATGTGGGTCTTGGTTCAGTCTTTACTGCAAATTGCACTGCTGTAAACCCATAAATTGAGCTGCTGTACAGATCATGTTTCAGACAGACAGTTTTAATAGACTGATTACCTGGCATTTTCCTTGGGGGTGAGGATAACATCCCCATCTGGTGCAATGTCAATGACACAGTGCTCAGGCTGAATTCCAATCCCACACAGCTGAATGTCCTGAGATTTATCTGCCCCAACTCTGGTGTGAGCCTGTTGGGAACATCAGTCGCTTAAAGGTCAGCATCTGACAACGCACTATAAATATTCAAAAGATGCATGTACAGTACATCACTTCACCAACACACTGAGCGCTGTTGCTGCAATAAATCAACTCTAATCGCCAGCATTTGACGACAGGTTACAAGCCCCTCCGCTGGGCCAATTACAAATACGGAACATATAAGGGATGAGCATAACACCTAATGCTTTACTCACTAGTTACTTTCTTGTGGAAATTTGCACACTATTTTACTAAGCAATTTTCTCATTTTCTTGGGGGGGCAGTAATAGGTGTGTGTGGGTGGGATGGGGGCGGGGGGCGGGAAGAAGAACTGGTAACTAGTTGAAATACACTTTTCAGCTCCCTGGAGAGACGTCTGTAAAACATGCACGCTTTGTGATTGATTTCATTCTCCATTGTCCATTTGTCAATAAGCTGTAAGGAGCTAAAAGAACGAAGCCAGTCTAAACATGTAGTTAGCACAGAGAAGAAACAGCTGGTATTGACGCAGAAATAAGTCAGTTAAATCAGCAACAGCAAGGTCTACAGCTCCTCTTTGCCTGTAAACATTAGATACGTTTTACAAAAAAAAACTGCCTAATCAATGGCACTAGCATCTCCCCAAATCTGGTGGCAAACAAAACCTCTCTGACAAACGGTGAATGGACAAACTCAGATGTCTTTCCCTTTATACACACACACACAAAGCCAACCCCTTTTTTTTTGCATATACCGCACAAACAGCATGACAGAAACAATTCTCCAGACTGTAATAAGTACACATTACGTGGGTATGTGATGAACCATTTTGCCAGACATAAAAGGCAACGCTCACCTTCAAATAATACACAAGAAGTTCATTGAGTGCAGGATCAGCGTTCAGGTTGACCAGAAAACATTTGTCGTCCCCAACTTTGATACCAGATGACTCCAGAGAAATGCCCATACTCTCAAGTTGCTTTTGCCTCTCCTGCAGTCACACAATAAATCACATTAAATGACAGTTACTGCATAATCAGAACATAGGAGCTGCAGAAAGATTCACACAAAAAAAACCTTCTGTCATTCTGTCTAATTTAATTGAATTCTGTCAGTTATTTGATGACATCAGGTTACCCTGGTCATATTACAGCTTTCTTGTTAAGAGCGAAGCGCCTGGAACAGCCCTTTAGCAAAACACTGCAATAGCCAGACTTGCATCAAATCTCTTTTCCAACACCAATCTCAATCAAAAAAGCAAGACTGCCCATCCCATTACAGAGTGGATTATTTTTTTGCAACTGGTCGTTCAGCTTGTGCTCACAGTCCAGGCTTACACTCCAGAGTCATGCTGGGTAGAGCTGCCGAGTCATTTGGATGAGATGTCAAACTGAGACCTCTGTCTGCCTGTTATTCAGGTCCCATTACATTATTTGAAAAAAAGAAGGGAGTTTCTGCCACTGTGCTAGCCAACAATCTTCCATATTTATTTGCCATCATTCCTTGACTGTTTGTGGCATTTTGCTCAAAGCAAAATAACTGCTGCAATTGACAGCACAAAACAGGTCACCTCACAGTAATGACACCTTTGTTTCCCTGTGCACTTTTTTTTGTCTTCTGACACACATCTGAGAAGCTGCAGGATATGCCTCTGCTTGATTCTAGAAATTTAGAGCCTGATGTTAAATGAACATTGCTGAATGGATGAATTGATTGCAAAAGTAACATGAACAAAACTTACACACACATACTTTTTCTTTTTGAAAGTCAGTATTCATCAATGAGAAATTACAACAAAAAAGAAACCTTACATTTTAAGTTATTCCAACAAACCTGTGCGATTTCCTCCGTTTTCCTCAGTTTCTCCTCCCAGGTGACAGTCAGGTCTTTTATGAGTTTTTCTGATTCATCCAATTTCTCCTTGAGCTCTGGAGCTTTCAGTGACTGGAACAGAAAAAAAAGAAACATTTACTGCAACTAACTACAGTCAAACAGAAGTGGTTTAAACTCAGCATCCATATCAAGAACTCATTTCAAACTCATTTGGAGTCAGTCTGGCTCAATTGGTAGCACTTTTGCCACTGAGTCAAAAGGTTGTACGTTCAAACCCAACATTGAATCTTTGAACTCACAGTCTAGGCTGACACTCCAGTACAGTGCTGGGTGCAGGGTGGAGGTGCAGCCCTTTGGATGAGACTTTAAATAGAAGTCCCATCAGTTCAGGTGGACATTAAATATCCCGTGGCAGTATTCAAAAAAAGAAGTTTCTCGAGCTGTTCTGGCCAACAATCCCCCAGATAAAATTAGTAATTCACTTCATGGCTGTTTGTGGGACATTGCTGTGTGCAAAATGGCTGCTGCATTCATCTTTAAAACACATGGTCAGTACACAATAAAAACCTGTGAAGTACTTTGAGACATCCTCCTGATATGAAAGGATTTACTTTTTATTTACCCATCTCTGAATAACTAATCAGCCTACAAGAAAGGAGGTTTCAAGTGAATTGTTTGCAACTGATCAGGTTAAAGAAATTTGTGTGTGAACACTGGATGGCGTTGTACATTTATCATAACATTAAAAGCTTTCATTCCCTAAAGCGAAACAAGAGACAAAACATAATTTGGCTGAGTAAAAAGACCATTCATTACTCTCGTGGAACTCTGGCCAGCTTTTTGAGAAGTCTCTTGAAGGTGGATTCGGTGGGGGCTGAAAACCCATAAGAAAATCATCAGAGAAAATCCAAGACCAGTAAAATTTTATGTCAGCCAAAAAGGTAATAAGAGAAATATTCCAAACCAACAGAGAGGAAATTTTAGGATTTCAATCTGCTTTTGCAATCTCTATAAACTCCACCCTGACTGGCACCATTCCTTTGATACAACAGATTACATTTCCTTTGACACAACAGATTACACATGAACATCTGTCTATAGTTTTCCTTATAGCCTTCAATCCCATTCGCAGCTTGACAGTCCATCAGTTTTTCTTCAAAGGAGTGAATTGACACAACATTAACAAGGAACTAGGAATATACATATTTGCTACTGGGCAGGAAACTAAAATCCTCTGATCTCTGTCTGTTCTTGTCCATTGTCTTCGTGATTTTCGGTTCTGCAATCCATTTTGCCAACAATGACATTCCCTACCATCAGAAGCATAGTGTTCAGAGCAAAACAACAGGCACAGCTGCTGTACTGAAGGCAGTGGTTGCATAGTCTTCTCAGATCTCACCTCTTGAACCTTGATAAACTGGTTTGTTTGCGTCATATGAGTAAAGGGGCAATATTTAAATAGCAGGAGCTGTCTCAGGACAGCAACACTGCGAATTAAGCGTCAGCCTGGCTTGGTTTATAGTTATACTGTGTTATTATTTTTTTATTATAATGGCCCATCTGTGGAAAGGGAGACAACAATGGCCTAAAGGCAGGACTGATGCATAAACAGCCTCAAAAGATGTCAAGGCCGATCTGATGAGATCAGATGATTTTTCTCCAAAATAAATGCAGTAAGTGTGATGATCACCAATTCCACAATATTATCTGTCAGGCCCAACATTTCTGTTCTCATTTGATATTTACAAACATGAACTTAACAGTTCGCCAGCCAGAGAGACCTATTTTATAGGATGCTGCATAAAGTTCTGCTCCATTGTGTTCTATAGCTGATATCTCACACCATTAACTGTAGTAAACTTGTGATGCTTTAGGCTCTTACGCTGCAAGAATGGCACCTTGTGCACAGAAGGTGTCCTTTCTCTGCCCCTGCCCACCGTGTGTGCTCTCCGCATTCCCTCACTCAAATGCTTGAGTACAGTTGCACTGGTGCCAAGTACCTTGTTCTATTACACATTCTTCAAGTGCAAATCTGGAAAGTGAGCAGCAGCAGCAGAGTATCTGTCCAAGGGTGGGTAAACAACACCACAGGCAAGCTCAATACAGTCCTTGGTTGACACTCACTTCGTAAAATAATCCTTGTACTTGATATAGCTCCTTACCACATTGTTGAATGTCTTAAAACACTTCTCAGGATTCACTGAAAAATTTGGTGACTATATTTGTAAGCAAAATCAGCAGCCAATTTACATACAGCAATGTCCCATTAACTTAAATAACCACTAAGTTGACCACTTGCATCTGGACTGTTGGCCAGGAGACCAAGAGAAACTCCCTTCTCTTTTCTCTTTTCAAATAGTGCCATGGAATCTTTAACATCCATCTTAACAGGTAGATGGCTTAACTTCTCATCCAAAGGACAACAGCACTCTTGACGATACAGTACACCCCTGCATTGTATTAGAGTACCAGCTTGGACTTTGAGCTCAAAGAGCCTGTCATGGTGCTTGAACCCACAACCTTTTGACTCAAGGTGAGAGAATGCAAGCAACTGAGCCAGGCTGACACTTGCATATTTTCCAGGACTCAATATGGTGATGCAAGAATGCTGCCTAATTTTTCAACCCTCCCTAACCTGGAGGTTTCTAGTCCTATTGCAGCAACCTCTACAACAGGACTGGTTGAGATCAGCTAAATTAGCGCAAACCAGAAAATTATCCCGTATCAACTTGGTTACTGGATGTTGGGACACCCTCCTGTCATGAAAGACCACTATATAAAGGCAATTTGTTGTTGTTAGGTTTTATTCAAATAATTTCTTCAAAGCTTGTTATTTGGAGGATTTACGAAATTTCTGTTTATGTTCAAAGAAAAGCTGACCATACGGATTTAGAATTTGAAAACAAAATCTGCCAAAGACACTATGAAATGGTCAGCATGCCTACCCAGAACCAGAAACAACAATCTTCAGCGGTTCTCCAGGAAGCCGCCAGTTTCCTTTTCATAGCTTGGAGTCCTTTGCTCTAAAAAAAAGTCTTCTCCAGAGACATTAAGCTAAATGAACAGATCTGAATACTGAGTGCAACCACTGACTTGCAGATTACTTAAAATTCATGTCCCACTTTACTGAATCCTTTCAGTAATAGGATTGATAGCATTTTGAGACGTCCTCCCGACATGAAAGGCGCTATACAAATGTAAGGAGCCTGGGCCTACTGACCCAGGTATTTAAACTCGACGCCGGAGCGAGATCAGCTCGGGGTTGGGCGGAGCGGGGGAACTGCTGACGTCATAGATTAGTTTTCAGGTGCGTGCGCAACAAAAAAAAACCCTCTGCGCCGCGCCCCCCCCCCCCAGGGCCCACATCAGAGCCCACTCTGGTCCTGTTGGGTTCGCTGCCCCAATCTACGGGATAATGCCATCCACCTGACCGCTCGCTCCCGGTCCCCGCGTGCGCACTATGGCTGCCGCTTTGACCCGAGCCCCCTCACCCCCTCCCTCCCGCCCCCCTCCTCTCTCCCCCCAAACCCTCCCCCCTCTGCATCTCTCCCGCGCTCTCCTCCTCTCTCTCCGTCCCTCTCGTCTTCTATCCCCACTTGACCCTCCCACAACCTCCCTCTGCTCCAGCCTGGGAATCCTCCGCCGGGCTCACCGCGGCACTCGGCGTTGGCTGTCCAGCAGCAGCCACACCGACTGCCCCATTCCCCACCACACTCGCCAGCCACCCCGGACACAGACCCGGGGAGTCAACCTCTCCTCCCTCATCCCCATTCCCCCCACCCCTGCCTCACAACCTGGACCCCCCTCCCCTCCCACACACCCTTCTGTCAACCGCTCCCTCCACATCGGACTGCAAAATGTCCGCTCCCTCTGCAACAAGGCCCTGGTCATCAACGATCTCATCCTTGATGAGAACGTTGATATCATGGCCTTAACAGAAACCTGGCTCACCCCAGGCGACACCTTCCCCCTCACGGAGGCCACACCACCCGGCTACACCTCCCACCACATCCCCCGCCCCAACCGCCGTGGCGGTGGTGTTGCCCTTATCTCAAGGACACCACTTGCCCTATCCCCTACTCCACTGGCTCTTTCCCCTCCTTTGAGCACCTCACCCTCTCCCACCCCTCATTCCTCTCCCTTAAAATCCTCCTCCTCTACCGGCCCCCTAAAACCTCTCCCACCTTCATCTCTGACATTTCAACACTCCTCACATCTCTTTGCCTCTGCTCTGATCGCCTCATCATCCTGGGCGACTTTAACCTACACTTCACCCCCTCCTGCTCCATCTCCACAGACTTCTCTTCCCTGCTCTCCTCACTCAACCTTCCTTACACATAAACTCCCCCACTCACAGTCACGGCCACCCACTCGATTTGGTGATCACCCGGGGCCTCAGTGTCTCGGATGTCACTATTACCGACAAGGCCATCTCTGACCACTACTTCATCTCCTTCACCACCTCCACCCCCCTCCCCACCTCCACCAGACCCACCACCATCTTCTACCGCCCTTGGAAGAAGTTACCCCCACAATCCCTAACCGATGCCTTGGAGTCCTCTGAACTCCTCTCCCTCTGGCCTTCAACCCTCACCGACCCCTCTTCTCCTCTCTCCCTCCTCCACAATACCCTCTCCTCCACACTCGATACTCTTGCCCCCATCACTTCCCGCACTGTCTCCTACTCCCGCTCCTCCCCCTGGTACACCACCCACCTCCGCTCACTGAAAAGCCAGGTGCGGGCTGCTGAACGCACCTGTGTCAAATCTGGCCTAACGGTCCACCGACAAATCTGGCTGGACCTCCTCAAAATTTACCGCTCCACTCTAGCCTCGGCCAAGTCGTCCTTCTACTCCAGGATAATCCTGGAGGCGAAGAACAACCCCAGGCTACTGTTTTCCACCACAACCCGACTCCTCCGTCCCCCCCGCCACCCCGCGCAGGTCATCTCCTCCAACCTTCACTGCGAGGAGATGCTGGATTTCCTTGAATCCAAGATCAAGGGAATCCGCTCCGCGGTCACTTCCCCTCCAACATCCACCAACCCCCCACCCCCTCCCTCCCACACTCCGACTCCTACCCATCCTCCCCTACACACTTTCGTACCCGTTTCCCCACCCTCTGTCACTGAACTCATCCTATCCCTAAAACCAACCACCTGCTCCCTTGACCCCATCCCCACTCCACTCCTTATCTCCCAGCTCCACTTTCTTGCCCCACATATCACTGACATCAACCTGTCCCTCTCCTCTGGCTCTGTCCCCATTCCATTAAATACTGCCACCATCACGCCCACCCTGAAAAAACCCTCCCTTGATGCGTCGCAGCTATCAAGCTACCGGCCCATCTCCAACCTCCCCTTTCTCTCCAAGGTCTTGGAAAGAGTTGTCGCCTCCCAACTGCGCTCTTTCCTTTCCACCCATTCTCTTTTCGAACCCCTTCAGTCAGGTTTCCGTGCTGCCCATAGCACAGAAACTGCCCTGGTCAAGGTCACCAATGATATCCTGACCATCTGTGACCAGGGCTCCCTCTGCCTCCTCGTCCTCCTCGACCTATCGGCAGCATTCGATACGGTCGACCACGCTATCCTACTCCACCGCTTGTCCTCCCACCTCAACCTTCAAGGCACTGTCCTTGAATGGTTTAGGTCGTACCTTTCTCACCGTCTTCACTTTGTCTCGACGAATGGCTTCTCCTCCACCCCCCGCACTGTCTCATGTGGTGTCCCTCAGGGCTCTGTCCTCGGTCCCCTCCTCTTCACCCTCTATATGCTCCCCCTGGTGACATCATCCGCAGACATGGAGTTAACTTCCACATGTATGCGGATGACACCCAACTCTACCTTTCCTCCTCTACTCTCAACTCCACGACCACCGATGTCCTGACAGCCTGCCTGTCCGACATCGAGTCCTGGACGAGAGACAACTTTCTTCAGCTCAACGTGCGAAAAACCGAGGCCCTCCTGATTGGCTCACGTCAGCGCCTCCGCACCTCAGGCGCTGACACCATCAGCATCCAAGGCTGCACTCTCCACCTCTCAAAGCCAGTCAGGAACCTCGGCGTTTTGTTCGACCCTGAGCTGTCCTTTCTCCCTCACATCCGCACCACAACTGGCACCGCCTTCCATCACCTCCGGAACATCGCCAGACTACGGCATTACCTCACCCCTCACGCTGCTGAAACCCTGGTCCACGCCTTTGTCACCTCAAGGCTGGACTATGGGAACTCTCTCCTCGCCGGCCTTCCCGCCACCTCCCTCCACAAGCTGCAGGTCATTCAGAACTCTGCAGCTCGTGTACTGTCCCGCACCAGGCTTCGGGACCACATCACTCCCACCCTCGCTCGCCTCCACTGGCTCCCCATCCCCCAGAGGATTGATTTCAAGATCCTCATCCTCACCTACAAGGCCATTCACGGCCTTGCTCCCTCCTACCTCTCCAACCTACTATCCCCCTACCTACCTGCCCGTACCCTCCGTTCCTCTGGCTCCGGTCTGCTCCACGTCCCCCGCCCCAACCGCCCTACCATCGGTGGCCGGGCCTTCAGCCTCTCAGCCCCGAGGCTCTGGAACTCTATCCCCCAGTGCCTTCGCCGCCTCCTCCCTCTCCTCCTTCAAGGCCGGTCTCAAAACCTTTCTCTTTGACCGTGCCTTCAGCTCCCCTCTCGACTCTCTTCCCCCTCCTCGCTCCCTCCCTTCCGTCCCCTCACCCTGACCATTTCCCCTCTGCTCGGGTCATGACCCAACTGTGCAGCGCCTTGGGACGTCCTCCTGACGTGAAAGGCGCTTTATAAATGGAATCTTGTTGTTGTTGTTGTTGTAATTTGTTGTTGATGCAATTTTATTGATCTACAATTTAAAAAACAAGTCTCTAATTTCCAAAAACAGCAACTATTACCCTAACAGTGCTGTGTTCTTCAGTAGTTTGTTCTTAAGTCAGCTCGCTGTCTGACACACACACAAACTCATCATCATGTTTAAGGGTAACCAAACCAGAGTTCACATATACATATTCCGAACTCAAGAGTTTAACCAGCTAAAACTGCCATTAAAACGTGTCATTACAAACAATAACTGGCAAGCTTCCCACTGCCTGATCAGCTAGGACCTACTCTATCCATTAGGGCTTTGGTTTGCAGGGAGCCGAGTGGGGAGAATTCCTGGTCCCAAGCCCTGCCAATGATTCAGGCTGGTTGGTCTGTCATCAGCAGTTCTCTGAAGTACTACAGATATAGCTGGCTCAGGAATAGGATCACAGAGACCGCCACAAATGATTGACAAGATTCTGATATTCCGCTGCAATGCATTTCACCTTGGAGCCAGCTCTATCCCAAGGAGATTAATCCTGTTTTCCCATCAAGGAAGATAGTCACTATTTGGACATTTGACATCCAACGAGTGCAAATAAATAGCAGATGTCAACACCTCTCTGCAAATTTCCTGGTGAGAGGCATGGCTCAGCATGAAATGTACGTGAAATCTTCCTGCCCACTGTTTGGAGACACACCCCTAACCACTGGCGATGGTTCCACCAGTTGGAGGTGTAGAGCTTGAGCAACATCTGCTTAACTCTCTGCATAACAATCAAGGTGCATTGCAAGCTTTGGAAATATGAACGTGTGTTCACAAACCAGCACAAACCAGGTGATGTCAAGCCTTAGTTGTCTCGTTACAATTTCCTCATCAGCTATTTAATGGATATCTGCCTTCAGCATGGTGGAAGGACTTATGCAATAGTGGGAGATGTGCCACCACCTTGCTATTCTGGCAGTCTAAGTTTACTTAACACCAACTGCTTAATCCAGGACCTCATGGCGGGGGGCAGGGGCTTGGCAAGGAGATGTGCCTGCTGTGAAGCTGACTTCCTCTTGTGTGCTGAGGGATAGGACAGTGTAGACTGGAACCCTCCCTGTCTCTAGCCGCATGCCATTCCTACCACAAATCCACCTCATTCCTGGGTCCTGGCATTCTGTTACATGTCTATGAGCTCAGAAACATTTGAAAAGGCAGAGTGGACTGCAGCCACCCATGGGACTGTAAGAGGGTCACAGGTGTAAGACTACTGCCAGTTCAGCTGATCTGGAGGAACACATTAAAATTCGACCCTCTAGAGAGATAAGCCTTCAAATAGCCTCATCTAGTTATCAACCATTAAAGCATACTACGCTTTCACAGTCACACACTGATGTACGGTATGGTACTCTGAGATTGCCCTGTGTGTTGGCACCGCATAATCGAGCTCTGCGCCAAGCCATTGGGAATTGTTAGATTGACAGTGCACAGTAATGTCCCATAAACAACCATAAAGTGGCTGAATAATTTTACCTGGGGGATTATTGGCTAAGGCAATGGACCAGAAGAAATCCCCTTCTCTTTTTAAATAGTGCAGTGGGATTTTTAAACATCCACCTGAACAGGCAAATGTGACTTCAGTTTATTTTCTCAATCAAAGGACCTCATCTCTATAATGAAGGACCTCCCCTCCTACAATGTAACATATGCCCACTGCATTGGAGTTTCAGCCTAGACTGTATGAGCTCACAGTTCCCATGATAGGCTTGAACCCACAACCTTTGATCTCAGAGGTGAGAGTGCTGACAATCGAAAACTCTCTTGAATACCTAGTCTTTAAACCAACTTAGTTTTGCAATTATTGTCATAAAAATAAACTTTGTTTAAAATATATACGAACAAGAATACATAACCTTGCAGGAGTCCCAGGTTAGTTTAGTTGGTATAATTGATACTGTTCATTTCTTTTTAAACAAAAATTACAACTTTTTAATGAGTGACCAAAAAAAACGATGAATGGAATGGACATTAAGAGTTTTCAGTGTTCGATTAAATTACACCAGAACCACAGCACGAGACCAATGCCTCAAGGGAAAGAGTTATATGGGGGCAAGCACAGAGGGGTTTTTACCTCCCCAGTTGTTATGGTCTTCCTCGTGAGACACTATGGTTTCTGCACGAAATGAATCTGTCCTCAGGAACTTGGGAATGCAACTCAGGCAGAACTGGGTCCTGCACTGTTTCTGAGTGACTGCTGGACACTGGCACCATTAACAGCTGCAGTTGTGCAGAACAGGGGAGGATCAAGCTCCTTAATTGCTGCATTTCATCACACACAAGGAATGAAAGTATGACAAATAAGAGCATAAAAGCAAAAGCAAGACACGATTACATGAAATCCTTTCAGAGCTACAGTGCTGAGGGTATGCTCAATTCATGTTGAAGCTATGCTTCCAATTCTAAATTAAGTGTTGCAAGCTTCCAGAGAGAATCCAGAGTTGACAACAATAAAAACACAAGCAAGGTAAGAAAGTTTGCACTGCCTGGCACTCTTTACATGCGAGCTGAGATAGACGGTGAGCATCAGCAGAGATTTTTCTGCAGTGAAGGACCTCACTGTTCAGCTGAGCTCAAATGTGATGTCCTGCACAGTAGAAATCTCTGCTGATCATCTAATATCTACACATGTGTATATTCCATCAAGGCTGAGGTAGGGGGGAGGGGGCAGTCTTTGAATAGAGGTCAGGAGCAGTCACTCAGACAGAATGTTTCCCTCTTTAACCCAGAAATGCCAGTTGTAGCTGCTCTGCATGGATGAAATCCATTAATATGGGAACTCAACATAAAGCTTTCCTGCTCTGTTTGGTTCAATCCACTTTCCACAATGTCTACTCACTGAACCACTGGTGTGAGCCTGGGAGCCTCAGAACAGTTTATTCCGAGCTCTTACCTCTGCCTGGTTCAGCTGCTCCTTAAGTTTCTCCACCTCTTCACGTAGCTCTCGGATGATCTTGGCATTTGGATCTTCATTAACCACTGCGTGGTTGACGATTCGCTTTGCCCGGTCTGCGTACCTCAGTGTGGACAATGTTTCTTCGTAGTTGTCCCCGGAGGGGCTAATGGTGGCTATCATGGCGGTTTTACTGTTTCCTCCCAAGTTATCCTGTTTCAGAGGTTTAAAAGTTCAGTGATAGTAATAATTCCCAAATTAACCTCAAATCACAAGTGGACAATTGCACATCCTGCTGGGAATAAAATATGCATGTGGTGGAAACCAAACCTCATTGTTTCTACATTTATTAAAAGCTTTAATGTGTTTTTCTACATTATGAATAGCATTCATATATCATGTTTCCTGCAATTAGTAAAAAGCTAAACATAAGGTACCTGTGACAGTTTTCTAAATTGAAAGTTGTCGGTCACTATGTGTATAAAAACATATCCAGCAGTCAACAGCAGCGGCTACAAGATGTAGGAGAAGTTGGCTGAGAGAACATGGTCTTTCAGCTGGTCACGTTCAGGTGTGAACACATTGAAAGTTAAGATAGCCAAATACAATGGCCAAGTTCTTTCACAGACCTCCTCACTCCCCAGTCCACTACCGGCGCCTCTGCTTGACTGGCAACGGCCTCCTGCTCGTCCCTCACATCCTTCTCCCCACCATCAGAGGTCATGATTTCACCCACTATGCCCCAAAACTCTGGAACACTCTCCCTTATTCCCTCTGCCTTGCCCCCTCTCTCAAGTCCTGCCTGAAGATTTCCCTGTTCGACCGTGCTTACGGCCACCTCCCCATTACTCCTGGCTCGGAGTCAGGGTCCCCACTGTTAAGCGCTCTGAGACACTAGCTGAGACACTAATGTGCTATATAGGTGCACGCTTTGTTGTTGTTGAATTAGTCCTTTGAAGCTCCAACAGAAGTCAGTAAGATCAAAAGTCTTTGTCAAGATCTGAATTTACTTAATTAGTGAAGTTCTGGCCAGGGAGTAACAAGACCAGACTGAGAAACAGAGAGAGAGAGAGAGAGAGAGAGGGAAGAGAGAGGTGACCTAGCTGTTTGATTCATTTTGCCCACAAAATACACAGTCAATCCACTTTACAATGTATTCTGTGAAGTGCTTTGAAATGTCTCAACAACATAAGGTGCTATATCAAATGCAACGATTGTTATTATTGTTTCTTACATCTTCCATAATTTTTTTTAATACTTAAGTATAAACCTACAAGTAAAACTGCCCTCACTCCAAACACAAGGAGATGGAACAGAGAGTTCAGACGTTGCTCAGTAGCTCCAGCCAGTGAACGCATGCCCAACTAGCTGGCCAGAACGCTGCATTGGTTTTCTACATTCAGGGGAGCCTGGCTTTGTAGCTGGTAAACCATGAACACAACACAACTCTTGTGTTCTTCCCAATTGGCACTTAGGAACAAAGCTCCAATCCATCTGGAAATGTACTCCGGAGCATTCTGTTAACTCTCTTGCTACACCAGTCTGTGGAGCTTCCTCTCTCTACTGGGGAGTAGTTCATTAGCAAGCCCAAGTGAGTGGCTTTCATGAATAACAGATGGTGTCTGTGGGGAAAGTGTTCTCATTACAGACATGCTTGGCTTGTAAGCATCTTGCTGGTCAAAACAGTACCTGGTGCAGACAATGTTGACCGATCACGGATGACACTGCCTGATTACAAGTCAAGAAAGCACAAGAACACTTTATACGGTTAAAGTAGGTGGTCAGTGCAACAGATGTTTCTCTTGCATTGGAATCCAGATGTTTGGCAGGAGGATATGAAGTCTATTTCAATTTTGGGGGGGCTGGAGGGAAGTGGGCGGCACACCAGACCAATCCAGATGTACATGAAGCAGCAAAACATCTAAATACTAGCACGACTGGACACAAGCATAGGATTCACTGACATTTGCCGAATGTCAATTTAAGTCACTGTGACTATCTTAATTATATCAAGCACAAAGGAAGAGAATATATTTTTGTAAGAAAAGAACCATATTATAGTCAAATCTGTTCAAGCAGTCACCTTGATTCAGCAATCATCCCCTCTTAACAACCACCGTCGGACAGCCCAGCTTGCACACCAACGAACCCTTACTCAGAGACCTCCCTTATATAAAGGCCACTTTGGTCCAGTGGTTGTTGAAGATGGGTTTGACTATATACTAATAGAGATTAAAGTCATAATTTCAGGGGAGGAAAATACACCAATTTAAAACATGACAAACATGTTTATCTCCATAGCATGCCCAGATGTAGTGCAAAACACACTCTAAAGCACACCTTAATTCCCAAATCCAGAAGAGCCCTCCTCACCAATACTTCATTGGACGAGCGAATGTGATTGCCAATTTAGTGCTATTTGTGGGCAGTTTTGTACTGTGAAATTTTGGTGGAAACTATTCCAAAGCCATTTCAAGACAGTGCTTACTGACTGGCAAATACAGAAGAAAAAAGGTCAGTCTCTATTATTGTTTAATATACAGTTATATTTATAACCATTTATATTTTCTGTACAAAGTCTTAGCTTTTCCTCATCAATACCTTGAGAAGCCAGGTGAGCACAGAGTCTCTGTAAGGCACAAACTTGTTTTTGCTCTTCCCTCCTACTTTATCAGCCAATGCAGAAATAACTAACCCCAGGGTGGTAAGAGATCTGAGGAGGAAAGAAATGAAACACTATATTACAAGCAGAAATCACCTTTGGGGCATTTTAATTAACTACTGAATGTACTTCTTTAACATTTGCTTTTATCAGAAAAGGGGTGGGGGAAAGAGATAAAAAAAAAAGCATGCACTGAAATTACACCACCATTAACTCCAGGATTATATAACAAAACACATTTAATGGGCAGCTCTTGGATTAAAATACAATTTACTGTCATATTTATACATATATATTGCACACCAGTATTATGATAATCATCTTTGCATTTCATACAGCACCTTTCATGTAGGGAGGACATCTCAAAGTGCTTCACAGGATATACTGTAAAGTGAATAGGCTGTGTATTTTTGTAGGTGAAACGCAACATCCAATTTGTGCACAGCAATGTCCCACAAGCAACCGTGAAGTGAATAATTAATTTTGTTTGCGGAATGTTTGCAAAGACACCAAGAAATGGGAGAAGCTCTATTCGCTTAATGCTGTCATAAGATCTTTAACGTTTCGCTCACAAAACACACAGTCACTACACTTTACAGCATAATCTGCGAAGCACTTCAAGACATCTCAAAGATGTGATAAGGTGCTTTATCAAATGCAAGGATAATTATTATTATCATTATTATATATACCATTCACCTAAACAAGCAGACAAGACTTTGATTTTAATATTTCATTTGAAGGAAGGCACATCCAAAAATGCAGCACACCGCCAGCACTGCATTGGAACGTCAGCCTAGAATGAGTGTTAGAAGAAAGTGGAGAAAAATCTGACACTAGAGATCTGAAATCACACTTGATCTTGGCCATTTTATCCTACAATTTAATACTGTGCAGATTTGTGAAAAAAAATTCTTAAATCTTATGTTAATTTAGAAGCTCGTGTTTTTCTTCTGTTTTTTTTCCAAAAAGGGGCTTCCGAATCAAGATCGCATTTAGTCAAAAAGTTATCTGTTTTAAGATGGCTCTGAGATCAGCTGTGCAATGTGTGTTCAGCCATCCTCCCAATAAAGACACTCACTTCTTGGATTGAGTACATACCAATGTGGCCACAGATGCTGGCAAAATGTCCTTAAGGATGCTAATGCAATGTTCACAAACCAGAAGTCACGTTTGTTGCCAGCTTTTTGCTATCGGATCATTTCCCGACTGAGAAAAGGCCCAAAACCTCTGACAATAGGAGTTGGAAAGAAAGAAAAATGTCGGCTGCAAACCAGCCTTCAGTAAAGGGAGTTTCTTATCCAAATTTCCAACTGACGCCCACAATTTCACTCACTATTAATGTGACCTCCGATCCCCAAACATTAAATTTTCCACTCTACTAGCAACTCAAGGGAATAAGACCTGCATTTGTTGGCTATAATATTTTTAAACACACATCTTTATCGTGGATTGAAATTTGTCATTTCACAGCACAGGACAGGAATAGAACTGAACTGAACAGTCACCCTCCTGAAGCAACCAGCAAACTTAAAATGTGCATCTTCTGTGATTATACTGCTTGAGCCTCGTTCTCCACTCAGCAAACACCAGCTGACTTCACGTCCTCTGCCCGTTTCATCCTACCATGAGCGGCCAAGTGTTCAGGCGCTATCTCCCCCCTTCACCCCACTTTCCAGAACTCCACCCCGAGTGTCTCGGCCTCTGCCTCGCCTCCCTCCTCTTTAAGACCTCTATCTTCAACTGTGCTTTTGGCCACCTTTGCCCTCCCGTCCTCAGCCCCGGCCCCCCAACCTTTCCCCAGCTCAGGCTCCCAGTCAGCGGTGTGAAGTGGTTTGAGATGTCTTCCCAACATCAAAGATGCTATATAAATATAAATTGTTGTTATTAGCTTACCGATAGATAGTAGCGCTCACTTCTAAAACCACTTGCATGGGTTACAAGAAAAGTTGAAAAGTTTGACTGAATTTCTACTTTTCTTTCTTTAAAAAAACTCACTTGTTAATGTTGCTGCCTTCCTTCAGTCGTTCCCCTGCAGCTCCCGTCTTCGAAACCCTCTCACTCCCAGCCAGGTCCACAAGGCTCAGCTTGCTCACTTTTTCTCCGGAGGTCTTTTTTTATAATATATATGGGGAGGGGGAAGGAAAGAAAAATAAAAACAAAATCAGCATTAAACCTACAATAACAAAAAAAGCGGAAACCGAACAAGCAAAACTCAAGGCTTGGACTCAGCGTGTGTGTTTATGGTCAACAGGTGCCTCACTTACACTACTTTGGACATCATAAAGTGTCTGAGTTAAAATAATGTTGAACACAGCGTGGGAGCGGCTGCTTTCTTCATTCATGTTGGTGGCAGCAACCGTTCGAGATTTGTTCCCTTCGGACATCAGAGACTCAATATCCTGCAACAGAAAATGCAACAAAATAAAGCATTAGAATCACAGAATGTTACAGCATGGAAACAGGTAATTCGGCCCATCAAGTCTGCTCTAATGTTCTTCTCCACACTGGCCACCTAGTCTAATCCCACTCCTCACGTCCTTCAATATACCTTTCTAAAACAACAAATTCTCTTTTAAAAGAATTAATGGACTCTGCTGAGCCTATGTTTTTGGGATTTCATAATCTAGGCTGAGTGTTGGATTGTTGGAGGTGCCATCCTTCAGGTGAGATGTTAAACCAAGGTCCCATCTGCTTGTTCAAGTGGGCATTAAAGATCCCATGACACGACTTGAAAAGGAAAGGGAATTTCTTCCAGATTCCTAATCAACAATTCCCAGATAAAATTAGTCACTCACATCATGACTGTTTGTGGGGCATTTGATATGTGCAAATTGGCTGCCGTGTTCACCAACAAAAATGCACAGGCTACAAATATGCAGTCGCTACACTTTACAGTAAATCCTGTAAAGTGCTTTGAGACATTGATGATGTGATAAGACACTATATTAGAACAAGTATTGTTATAGTTCTCCAGTGTAAGCATGTCTGATTGATAAAAGCAATACATGTTGTTATAGCCACTTCAAATCATAATATTTAAAATAATCTTTGCATTTGATAGAGGGTCTTATCAAATCATCGAGACGTTTCAAAGTGCTTCACAGGATAAATGTGTAAAATGGATTGACTGTATTTTGTGGGTGGAATTTGGCAGCTAGTTTGCACATAGCAATGTCCTACAAATAGTCAGTGATCAATTTTATTTGGGGGATTGTTGGCCAGGATATTGGGAGAAACTCCCTTCTCTTTTCGAATAGTGCCATTGGATCTTTAACATCCATCTAAATAAGCAGACACGATCTCCGTTTAACATCTCATCTGAAGGACGGCATCTCTGACCATTCAACACACCCCAGCACTGCATTGGAATGCCATCTTAGACTATGATTCCAAACTGATGTGGGACTTGAGCCCATAACCTTCTGACAAGAAATGAGAGTGCTATCATTGAGTCAGGCTGACACACTACAGCGTCAAGCTGTTTCTTCTGTGGGGAGTGAGCACAAGCACAGACACAATGGGGAGAAAGCAAGGAATGGGATTAGAATAGATTAGAGCACCAACACAGACACGATGGGTCAGACTGCTTCCTGTTCTATGAACTCCAGACAAACACTAACACAAAATTGGTAGGTTCTGGACCTACACATAAATAAGAGTCTGGTACAATGAGCCATGAATGAATGCGGGAAGGAGGTGCACGCACACACACGCAGAGCCGCATATACAGGCGTACACATGCACCTTCCAGCCCACCCCAGCATCAGCAGTTGGGTCTTCAGCCTCTCTGCCCCCACCCTCTGGAACTCTATTCCACATTCGCTTCACCTGGCCCCCTCCCCTTGCCTGCTTCAAGGCACGCCTCAAGACCTTCTTCTTCGACCGGGTCTTCGGTTACCCTTCTACCCTCCACCCTCCCTGATCCCAACCTCCTCCCCACCTCCCCCCACCAAGTCCTAACCACTTACTGTTCAGCGCCTTGGGACGTCCTCCGGATGTGAAATTACAAATGTAATTTTGTATTGTACTTACCTCAAACCCAGTAACAGCCAACTGTGACAATCCATCTACATAGGGGCCCAGGACCTTGTGCTCTCGCACTTTCAGGGAATGGCGACTCCTAGGAAAGAACATGATTGAAATAGTCATAGCGTCAAGCCCTTTGAGATGCAAGAACAATGTGAGACCATGTGTAACAATATGTGAACATTTGTGCAAAAGAACAAATCTTTTTTCGTGCAGCAATTGTTACCAATTCTTGTCTTACAAAGTTGGCAACAACATCAATACTCATGACCTGAGCCAATAGAAAAGTGCGGCCACAATTTTTCTGTGGAGTCCGCTATAAACAGCGCCCTCCACCAAAAAATGCTATTTTTACCAGAAAAATGACGTGTCTGGCACCCGGCCTCTGTCCGATTGTGGGCTGCGCCGCTACTCTAGGTGGAGGGGCTCTGGGCTCGCGTGCCTGGTGCGGGAATTGGTGTTTGCTACACTCAGAGGACTGCTGTTGAGATTGTCTGTGCAACAATCTAATATGGGTTATTTCTTCATGTTCGTTTTTTTTAATCAATAAAGTGAAAAAAAATGTAGGTTGGCGGCAAAATGTACCGCAATAACACCAATCAACAGCCCGCAATTTTCTGCGAAATTTGTCAAATTTTCCACAATTTTTGGCAAATATTTCCGCAATTTTCTATTGGCCCTGTTTATAACCCACAAATTCAAGTCCCACAATCAGGTCTCAGAACTGTTCAATGGACAGCGCCTGGTTGTGCGTGTGTGTGGGGTGGGGAGGGGGCTGGTGGGGGTGAAGGTGGGAAGAAAGAGAAGGAAACGGGGCAGGAAAGAGCATCATAGTTTCACTTGGAAATATTTGCCAAAAATTGTGGGAAATTTGACATATTTCACAGAAATTTACGGGTAGTTGATTGGTGCTGTTGAGGTACATTTTACTGCCAACCTACAAGATGAACCAAAGAGTTGTGTCCAGGAGCAGCTCTTGCACCATATCTAGCCTCTGCTCCCAGTGGTTTACCCACCTGTGAGCATTTCCTCTCTGAGCCTGAGTGGGAGCAGCACTAAGTGAATAGGGTGTCCAGAAACCACACATCACATTGTTTACAGGGAAAACCCGGAAGGCACTGGGGCTTTCAAACAAAAAGGGCTTCAAATGAGTTACACTCATGTGGCTGGACTGAACATGTTGCTGGGCTGGTTTTGTTGCAGCAGCTCTGGCTTTCCCATGGAAGCGAACATATCAGGCAGTTGATGAGCTTCTGTTTCATCTGTATATATTATTTTCATATGTAAATATTATTTCATATTATTATATGGCGTGTGTTTGAACAAAGGTTAAAAACTTTTCGACATTTTCTAAGTATAATGTGAACTTTCATGAGGGTGAGGGGTGACATGCTAGACGAAAAAAAGACCACGTTCCATCTAGTTCGCCTTCTGCCTTCCTGGCTGTTGCATGCACATACGTCCTGACCTACCCAAGTACTATATCCCATAATGTTATTTCCTAAAAGAAATCTATCTAATCTGTGTTTGAAGGAATCGGCACTTCCAACATTGCTGATACACTCAGCACCAGAGGCGCATTCACAGAGGGTGGCAAAACGCCACAGCCTCATTTCAATGTTCAGAGTTAAGTGTGCGCGCACATGCATTTCTATTGTGTAAGTATACATAAATAGGTCTACTATTCAGAGTTGTGACTGTGTAAGCACATATGATTGTGTGTATGGATATGTGTGTGAGTTGTGTGTGCAAACGCGTGTGTATATTTATATAATAAAAAGATCCCAGTCTTTTAAATAAAAGAAATTAGTTGATTTTGGCTGATTGAGCCAGATCAAAACCATACAATTCAAATAAGCTACAATTTCTGGCCCAGTTTTGCACTCATCTCCATTACGCTGTCTGACCAAACATCTGCATGCTTTTTGAACAACCGTTTATTTACTCAAGAGATTTTAGCAACCACCCACACACTAAAAATCTTACCAGAGTCCAACCTAAGCAAAACTACACCACTCAACACTAAAAGAAATCCTTGCACTTGCTGGCACGAGCAATGTACAGTAAACTCCCGATAACTCGACCCTGGGTTAACTTGTCACTGCTACCCAAGTTATCATACAATCAAAATTCTCATCTGCATTTATTTGTGTATTTATTAGCACATGCTGGATCCATTCACATCTTCAAGTCTGAGGTGGATAGATATTTGTTAGGTCAGAGTATTAAGGGATATGGGGTAAAGGCGGGTAATTGGATTTGAGGTAAAGATCAGCCATGATCTTATAGAATGGCGGAACAGGCTCTAGGGGCTGAATAGCCTACTCCTGTTTCTATGGTTCAATGTCTAACTCTTCACTCCGGATACCTCGTCACTGAGCCCTCTTCCTTTAGATTGATGAGCTATCAGAAGTTCCTGTAATATAATTTTTGCATATTACGCACTGAGAGGAATGTCCCTGCCTAGATGCCCAAACAAGTTGTACAACATGGAGCAGGAACACCCTGAATGGGTTAGGGGTCTTCCTTGGAATAAACTGTTCGACTAGTGTATAGCGCAAATGTAGCAATTTTCACCATGTAGTGTACCACAGTGACACCCACTACACATAATAACCATCAAACCAAAACCACCGAAAGTAAACACGTGTCCCTGGCACATTATATAGGAAAGGTGAAATAAGGACAAGGCTTTCTTCCACCAGAAGGTAGCTTTGTAATAATGCCAACATTTCTGTCTGATCTCAAATCCAGATGGGAGCACAAGACTGAAGTGTCGTATTACTTGGAGTTCTTTTCCACCCCTAACACAGCACAAGTTGTACCTTATCCCATTTAGCCTGCAGTCACCCAATGGCAGCACAATGTTGTTGACTACACAAGTCAGCAACTTTGCTACTGAGAGGTTACTGTATCTAATTGCGGTCATTCCAAAATTAATTCACATTCCTTAATTGAGTAATCCAAGAGCCTCCTCTGAGGGGAGCACATCAGGCTGCCTCATGAGATCTCTGCTCTGAAAGTAGGCACGTGTTAAAGAGCCAGTTCCCCCAAGTTGGCAAAGACAGACTTCAGGATTCCATTTTTTTCAGTCTTCTGGATTCCTTAATTCAGGAATCTGATTGGAAATGTTGTTGAGAACCCACAATTACCTTACATTTGCCTCCCTATTCTTCAGAGGATCCAGTTCAAGATCCTGGTGCTCACCTACAAAGCCCTCAATGGCCTCGCCCCACCCTACCTCTGCAACCTCCTAATCCCCTACCAACCCGCCCGCTCCCTCCGCTCAGTCGGCTCCGGCCTGCTCCACATCCCCCGACCCACCCACCCCATCATTGGCGGGAGACCCTTCAGCCACTCTGCCCCCAACCTCTGGAATTCCATCCCCCAATCACTCTGCCTCGACCCCTCCTTAGCCTTCTTCAAGTCCCGCCTCTAGACCCTCATCTTCGACCATGCCATCGGCCACCCCCCTTCCTCTCCCCTCCCTTCTCCCTCCCTGACCCCAGCTCACCGCTGAAATGCTGTATACTCTCCAGCGCCTTGGGACGTCCTCCCGACATGAAAAGCGCTATACAAATGTAATCTTGTTGTTGCTGTTGTTGTTGAACCCACCTCAGAGACAGCAGTATTTAACTCAGAAGGTGACAAAGGTCAAGTGCATTAGCCACCATTTTTATTTAAAGGCAAACACCTCATTAAACTAACCAGAAATGTAACCTTAATAATATTAATAATTCTTGCAACGCGGCAGCCAATTGCGCAAGGTAGTGTCCCACAAACAGTCGTAAATTGAAGTGACCAATTTATTATTGCTTTTTTTCTTGAGGGATTATTATTAGGCATGTGGAGTGTGGAAACAAAATTAAATTCAGATTTTTATTTATTTTGTTACCAACTCAAGTCTTGCCGAGCTATAAATTGCTGAATTTCCCAACAGGTTTCAAAATGGAATAAAAAATTTGCCAAATGACGTCTTTGCGTACAATAAAGAGGGAAGAACAATAAAATATTCGATTTAGAAAAACGAGTGTGCTCCTATTTAAGGAGATTCATTAAGTATTTAAGGCACACTGATCTGCATTTGTAAAGTGGACTTCAATATATCTCGATTGTAGGTAAGCAATTAGGAAATCTCAGAACAGCAGCTGCTCATTTAAAGGGGAAAAAGACCTGGATCCTAGTTTTTTTTTAAAGTCTCCTTACCAGGTGTGGATGGCTAACAACTGGAGCAAACGCAGAGGCATCTGGCTAGCCTGGGTATTTAGATGACAAATCTCCATCCATTCCTTACTCACTCCCATACCTTCCATTCCACCCCCCCCACCCCCCCATGTGTATATCCAGCTTCCTCTTAAATGCATTATCTACACAATCTGATTCAACCACTACTTTGGGCAGCGAGTTCCACATTATCACTATCAGTTCCACATTCTCCTAATGGCGGTAGAACACAGGATGTTATGCTGGAACAGGATCTGGAGGGGGCAGGTGCAGATGAATAGCTTGCTGACACTTGCAGTACAGTGTGCGGCAACAGTAAAGGATGTCTAAATTGAGGGGGTTAGAAGACAAGTCACAGGATGTAGTGCTGATCTTGTGCAGAACACTGGTCTGTCCCACTCGGACTATTGAACAAGTCTAGGGCGAAACCTTGGGCAAGTTTCCTTACTCCACACGCCTAATAATAATCCCTCCAAAAAACCAAAAACAATAATAAATTTGGCATTTTCAATCCACGACTGTTTGTGGGAAACTGCTGTGTGCAATTGGCTGCCACGTTTCGCCCACAAATATATAGTCAATTCACTTTACAGCATATTCTGTGAAGCACTTTGAGACGTCTAGAAGATGTGAGCAGCACTACATCAAATGCAAGGATTATAAGTCTAGTTACTCTACCACACAAGGGATATTCTTGAGAGAATACAACTGAGCCTTGAATTGGGCTGCTGAGCTGTGAGGAGAGGCTAAGGATATCCAGGAACAATCACACTGGAAAAGGATCAGGGAGAATCATGTTGAAGTGTTTAAGTGTCTGAGTGCAGTATAGCTAACCTCAGCTATAATGTTCAGCCTTGTCGCAATTTCTGC